CCACACGACATAGTTTTGAAGCCTTCGTCATTCTCCCAGGAAGCGTTTCGTGGCTACTCGCAGTGTCTATGGATACACGCGCAACGTTTTAGTGGACGAGGATTGACGTGCAAATCAGCGACACGCCACAAGCGTTATGCATTCAGCGTGGCCATGGAGCTTTGATACAAACGCTGAGGGCTCAAGCAGCTAGACTTGTCTGACCGTTTAGACATACTATATTGGCTCCGCCACAAACCGCTCGCATGCTGTATTGGAAGTTTGTGGAGCGAACATGACAAGGAACCGGCTATCAGCTGGTGGCAGCCAGAGTCAAGCTCAGGATGCGCTCGGGTCGCTGATACGCCCTGTTACGGAAGCCAAAGTGGGTTAACCGCAGATGCCGCACGTTCAGTGAAGCTGACGTGTGGTTTGACGCCACAAGCGGATTTCCAGGGAATGCCATGACGCCTTCCGTCTTGGGGACATACGGTACACTGGCACACACAGTAAGAGAAAGCGTCAGCCCACCTTGTTCGTGTAAGTGGCGTCGTGGAGGGTCGCGGATGTTCTGGCGGATCAAGACTAGGTTCGTAGGCAGGCAGTCCTTTGCAAGGGTGGACAGGCAATACACGCTATACAAGGGTCCGTCCTAGTCCCACATGGCCGCGCCACCGTGTTGATAATCCTCAAGGGCCGTTGTTCATCTTTTCTCTTCACACAGGCAGGCAGGCTACAACGAGTCGTCTAGCCGATCAGCATCGTCGTGTGTTGCTCAGTGGCTAGTACGCTGAGTCGGCCTGGGAGGCGCCACTCAATATGCTCTGTCCAGTTTGCACACGGCCACTGCCACCCAACCGAGACCCGAAAAATAAAGGCCGCCCGCTGAAGAAAGGAGCACACACCGAGACAGGCACAGCTGGAATTGCTTTTCCCTGTCGTTTGCGACAAAGCGGAAACGTCTGGAGTCTTAGGGGGCCCCATGGGCGGAGCATTTTGATTGGCCTGTGCTGCACATATACTGCCGAGTCAGATACAGTAGTATCTTTCTCTCGCTTGCCCGTAGCAGAAACCGAGACTGCGCCTACCAAGGTCACACACACAGGTTTGCCGGGCGAGGCTCAGGTGCGAATCTACTCTATTTGTCTGGGCAGCCATGGGTCCAGCAACTGCAACCGCAGCTGCCGACTTGCATCACCGGGAAGCACGTTGCAAGCAAGCGTGCAGGATCGCTGCTGTGCCCACAGAAGATATTGGGGTTGCATCCACCAGGTCCCGCCTTCATGCACATTACGATCCAAGTATCGATCGCATCTCATCTTGGGCATAAGTACATTGACGACATGGCACAAGCATGACACCCATCCACTGGCCCAACAACCCCGGTCCACTGCATCGCAGTAATCACCGGGAGCCCGCATGCGGAGCTAAAACTGCACGATACGATTCCCACGCTGCTGCCATGGATGCGTTGCATGGAGGGAATGCGAATCCGCACGCTTTTTTGCCTCATGCACTACGTCAAGAGTCCCTCAACCATCAAAAAGCCTTGGTCGACACAGTCTCATCACGTTTGCAAGCGAGTAGCCAGCCGGGCTTCGCGCCAGACCGTGATGGTTGCGTCCGTCATGACAGGCCCGGAGTAGACGACGTTCAGGACTGCCCAAGAGGTAGAGCTGTGCCTATCAATCTTGCATTTCGCCTCGCAAATCGATCCAATGGCGTTCCTCTTGCCACTATTGTTGAGCAAGGTTCCTGCTCCACGCTAAACTCCCAGGGCTCCCTACTCAGTGCCTGTCCGTTTGCCTCATTGCGGGTGGTGGAAAATACGTCACCTAACTACTATGTTTTACCCAAAGCCTCGCCCGGTCTCGATGGGCGTACTCTCCAGCTCAATGTAGAAAATGGGCAGCCAGAGTCAGTTCTAGATCCAACCACTCGAGAGTTTTCCAAGCCATCTTACAAGGATATCGGCAGCTTGTCTCCGCAGGATAAAACCACCACTCCATCTTTACACACCATTTTGGATCGCCCACGAGCTTTACTACATCAAACAGGGGAGATAGACTGTGACAGAAATAGCAAAAATGTCAAGGATCTTGTCCGTGGTGTACTTCACAACGTCCGAGCTGTCTCACGAACCCAGTCCAGGTCGTCCTCCACACATACACCTGTCGCGGAGCATCCTAATAACCGGCAAGAGGCGAGCGATAATACCTCAGATAGTGAGTTGTGTGGCCCTGATAGGTTCGAGTGGGAAAATAAGGTATTAGCTGCACCAGCTGGTGTACCCTCTGCGCCCCTGGGCGTGACTCAACTGCCAGCTCATCAACATCAAAGCAGGGATGGGTGGACTCTCGACACAGCCTTCAAACCTTCGGCTCGTCTAGACTTGCTCTCGCACGAGGATATGCTCTCGTCGCACACCCAACTCGGAGCTGCACATCCGTTGTCAAAACCTTCGACTGGAAAAGAGGGTTGTCACGGCAATATCTCGAAAATCTCAGCCCAAAGAGGAAGATCCAATCTAGAAGGTAATGCCTTTTATGGTGTCTCTGTGTCGAGTGATGCCACTCATTCCTGGATAGAGGTTGATCGTGCAGGGGACGCTAGTCAAAATGCCAGCTTTTGTAGCACTGTATCCACGTCTTATTCCGGTAGTGTGGTTGGTGTAGATGTCGATCTTCAACACGAATTTCCTCAGAAGATATGTCGCTCACATTCATCTACACCTGTAGCGCCGGTATGGTTCACTCCGCAGGTGGCAGAGCTGAAGCGACATGCTTCACTTTCTGGATCTTCTGAAGCCCAGCAGTTGCCGGAAACGGAACGTTCACATCATTCCATTACCTCATCTGCTCTGACGACTCTGCTTCCAATAGCAACAGCCTCGGGAATTGTTCGCCGAAACTACGAGACACCCAAACTATCATTCTTTTCGCCATCCGGTCGCCTGATCCAGCCAGAAGGTAGTTCCACACCCGGCACAACAAGCGCTTCCAACTTCAGCGGCTCTCCTATGGCCAATGCATCTACAAGCATGAATCCCACCCCTGCCTCCTATAGTGTATTTCCAGCAACATATCTACCTCCTCCACGACCTTCCCTGAGACCAATAACGGCTCCACCCACATCTTCGGTACCGCTCCCTGCCAATTTGCGACACCACCACAACTACAGACGTCCCGAAAAGTCGCAGATCAATCCTGAAATAGAATATACGCATTCATTCAACAATACCGGTCTGGCGGTCAAAGGATGCGATGGCATTGTATGGACTGGGACGCTCCCTGTCAACCCTCAGACGCGCCAATGGTGTGGAAAGACAAGGGCGCGCCATCAATACAGAAGAGACAGGTCGGTAAAGTTGTTCAAAGACAATTTCAGGTCAAAGGCGAGGTGTCGTAAAGCCCGACTGATGACAGCCATGAGCACAACTACAGCGAAAGGAGGAAATTTTGGTAAGCAAGACGAAGCTATCACACGCGCTAGCATGCCTCACAAACGTAAACGTGTATCCGTCGCTACTCCTGACAGGAAGCGCCTACCAAGCCGGCACGTAAGACGAGAAAGGAAGACAGGACTCCTCGGACCGGCAGCCGGACATGTGTTGCGCATCTGCTTCTGTCAGCCATACGACGGCGCAGGCAAGCCGACGCATGATGTCGCCGCGAAAACCTTTTGCATAAAAAGCCACGCTAGCGAGGCGCACGGAAAGTCAAAGAAGGAAACACATCCTATAACCGCAACGGAAACGCACGTCGTAGACGCCGTTCTACCCAACGCTCGGGTCGTCACGGGCGTCAACCGGAAGATCAACACCTCCAACCGTATTCGCATACAGATGAGCGGTCGTAGGGAACACGGCAATCTGACCATGAAATCCCACCTTCCATGTCAGACTGCATTGTGATAGCGCTACGAGGGCTGTATACAAACGTATGTGAGTGGCTACGTATGTGGCCGTATGGGATGTGCGTGCGCGAGAATGTGAGTGGGGGGGAATTAATTATGCATCTCGGATACAAACGCCGCCGTCCATCCAGCAGTAGCAACCAACCATGGAGAAATTTTTCCTTGTCAGCGTAGTAAAATGCTTTCTCCCTCCACTCCCTCCCCCCCCNCCCCCCTTCCCTCATTCCTTCGGGGGCGTTTTTCTCCCAAGAGAACCAGGATCAGCGCTCTTTTCCCCCCTCTAGCAAAACGGCTTAGTCTCTCTTTCTCTTCTTTTTTTCTCTTTCCCTTGGTTTAAAATTACAGCGGACTGTTTTTTTTTTTGCGTTTGTGTACTGAAACATTCGACATAACAATACATTCACACATTAAAGAAAACAATGAAAAAAATAGATAAATAAATAAAGCCAATCCCAGTTGCTCTCTCTCTCTCTCTCTCTCTCTCATATGCAAGTTTTCTTACTCCTTTATTTTTTTGGCTGGCTGAGGCTGGGACTGGATGAGCTTACTACACCCATCCACACCCACACCCACACCCATACTTACGCGCCACCGTGCATAAAAGGACGTTTTCTGACATTTCCGCAAACGGGCATTACGGTAGGGGCTTTTTTTCGCCCTTCTTTTGCTTTTGCTTTTGCGTTGCTTAATTAGGCAGACTTGGCGGCCAGGATCGTCCTCGCTTTTATTTTGCCTGCGCGGCTGTCGTCGGCGTCGGTGGGAAGGGAAAAGCAAAGGATCAACTTGTATCCGTTGCGTGTCTTTTGGTGTGCGTGTGTATGGTAGGTGTACACCTGCATGTGTAAGATGATTGTGGAGGTGGGCGTGGCTGGGATGCGTTGTGCTCATGTTCTTGCATGCATATACGTGTGTGGTGCAAAGCAAAAACACCTGTTATTCAGGGCTCTTACATAGTATGGGCATAGGTGAGGGTGTGGTTGTTTGTTGCCTGTGTATGTGTGCTGGACTGGACTGGACTAGATTGGACTGGACTGCGCAAGGCACACACTAAAGCAGCACAGAAATGTTGATGGAGGATGATAAAATCATTGTGTCTGGGAAGATCCTTACATGGATTTACCCTCTTCCCTCCTTGCCTTTTCTTCTTTGCGCGTTACTTGTTCACCCTTTTTCTCAATGCGGGAACTAACATGCTTGCGGCAATCATGCCTCGGCTTGTGCGACGTGTGACTGTTTGGGAGCGAATATATGGGAGGGGAAAAATGGAGGTCTCGGGGGTTTGCTTTTCAGGCTCTTTTGTGGTGATGTGCGTCATGGGTTGTGTGGGTGTGGGTGTCGCATTTGGTTGTGGCACCTTTGTGAAGGATGTGATGCTTGTTTGGTATGATCCATGTATCGCCGACATGGGGAGATGATGATAGGTATGGTGAGCGGCTGGGATGTGTGAAAAGTCGGCAGAAGAAAAGTTGGCTGCCGAATTGGTAATGCAGGGCGTTTGGTTTTTCTCTTTGCTTTACTTTGCCCTTATCAGATTGACGCGGGTGATCTTCTCCCAGGATACGTATGGGTTGCTTTCATATGGGAAAAGAGACTTGGGCACATCATCGAGGACACTACTTAGGCAACAGCAAAAAGTGTAGTCTGAATGTGGAACGGCGATTCTGGAAACGCTTGCGAAAGGTCTAGATTTGGGTTGGAAACATGTCGGCATTCCGAAGTGATTCGGACGGTATTCTCGCTATGCGTGAATGCGCATGCTAGTTCAATATACTTTGACGGATCGCCACAACACATCTTTTAGCATACCGTTCAAGAAAACACACTGAAACCACCACACCTACATGATACACTGCACTCTCCAAAGCAACAATGCATATCCAGAAGAAAAAGAACGGTGACAGCTCGGTGTGATCACACGGCAGGCATAAACACCCCAACGGTTTGCCGCATCGGCGATTGCAACTTTTGTTTTAAACCTAAGCAAGACGCGCATAACAGCGGCGAGCCGACAAGCCGGCCGTATAATTCCGAAACGGCAAGAAAAACGAAGGCCAGGCTTGTAAAACCAGTTGTTACAAAACAGCAAATAAAGGCGTTCCGTTCGTACGGTAGGCGGGCTAACCCCGGCAGTCTGTGCATGGGACGGTATGCACATCATAAAATCGGGGTGCCGAGTGTGACGGGTTGAAAACTTGCTTCTTGTTATCCTCGAAAGGGAGTTGAGGAAGAAGGGGGGAAGCATTACGCGCGTTACGGGGCGCATCTTTTTTCTTTTGATGCTCCCCCACAGTTTGCGGGCAAAGCAATGGATTGCCAGTAAGCACATGGCGGTGCACATACCATTATGCAATCTATGCGGATGGGATGATGTCGGGTAAACAGAGAGACTGCGGCTGGAATGAGGAAAAGTGCTGCCATAAAGTGGTGCGATGAAGTGGTGTCATTTTCGACAAAGTGCCCAATCGCTCGTCTAGAACATTAATGACCAGCTGAAATGTGTATCTCACTACGCAGTGGCGAACTAAAGAAGGGCGTACCAGACCTGGAGACTAACAACGAAAAGATTTTAGCGTAAAGATGTGTGTGTGGGCTGGTGGGTGGAAAAAGGGTTCTTGATTGTATACAATTGTTTTTTGCCGACCCGAGTCCTGTGCATCTGCCAGCAGCGGGGTCACCGAGCAGGAGATGCTAAGATATGCAGCTCTGTGCACTTGCACGGCTACACTTGCCGGAATTTGTACACCTAGTGTAAACGACTCGCAAAAGTCGCCCCCGGGTGTTGTGCTGACCCCTGCTTGCTCATCATGTCCAATGGCCGTGGTCTCTTGTCGATCAATCCCCACCGCCTCACTCGCGCATTATCGACCCGAGGGCCTGGTAACGCACCTGCAGGACAGAATCCCATTCCGGATAAAATGAAGTGGGAATCCTTCATAAGGTTGTCAATTTCCTATTTCGAACATATGCACATGTTGTGATGAGCGCATGGAGAAGAAAAAGCAAATCCGGGATATGTTGCTGACTTGTGGGCTTTGCTGCGCCCTGTATGCCAGGGTAGGCGAAGAGGCTGCCGATCAATCTCCTCGGTACCGCGAAGGGAAGTGATATTTGAAATATGGACGAATCAGTGGAGCATGCCGTGGAGGGCCGATCAGCTCAGGTGTCATGTGTGGCTTAGTACGGATTGCTTGACTTATCGGCCCAGAGGTCTTTCCAAAACTGCTTGAAGCCATACTGCTTCTCTCGACGCTCATCTCGCACGCGGACAGGACCGCCAATGATGTTATCGAGAACACTCTTCTGACCAGAAGTGTACCCAGTGTCTATCTTCTTCGGCGGTCTCCGCGTCCGTTCGATGATGGCTGCAGGAAGCTGAGGCGCAACGTCGGCAAAGCATGAGTTCAGCTCGCGTTGGAGGTTGAAGTAAGGTCTTTTGGCTAGCTCGGGTGCTTGCAGGTTGTAACTACGCGCTTTGTCGTTGAGGTCCTTGATTGCTACAGCTAGGTAGCTACCTTCAATACGCTCCCAGTCTGGGTCACGGAAAGGATGCGACGCTGGAGCCACTGTTGCCTCTGGAGTTTGGACCGGCACTTCCATTGTTTCCTCTGAGACATCTTCCACAGAAACAACAGACGGGTTCTGGGTTACAGCTTCCGGAGAAGCGTCAAGGGTGACCTTCTCAGCTACCACCCTTTCCACAATGACTGGTTCAAAATTGGGATCTTCAGCTGGTGGAGATACTCTAAGTTCTCCTGACAACGAAATTTGAGACATGTGGCCATCGTCATTGGTGGCAGTAAAGGTTTCCTGCTTCTTCCTCAATGGATTCGAAATCAGCTCAGCTTTGGCATATGCCTCAGCTCTCTTCACCTGCTCCACCAGTGTGCCACCTTTACTAGCTATCATACGCGCCGCATGTCGCTTCCAGTCTGCACGTAAACGAGTTCTGAATTTTCTTATTGCTGACGTAAGTTCCTGTTGTTTCTCAATCCATGGCGGCACTATTTCCTGTCTTTGGATAATCTTATTCATGAAGTACTCGGTTGTATCAATGAACGGGCTGGATGCATTGTAGTCTCGTTCGACATTGGCAGTTTTCCCGCGAGGAATATTCTTGAACTGTCCACGGGCGATTGCATCTTCAATTCTCTTATTCGCAAGCGAGGCGAGACCTTGTATCGTTCCAGGGACAATGGCGCGTGCACCGGGTTCGAATCGATCCTTGAGTTCTTGCAGCCGCTTCTCACGTTCTGCAGCGTCGATGTCTCCGTTTTCCACCAGTGTCGTATACACCAAGCTCCTGTCGCGAGCATTCGCTAGCCGCAACCCACTGCCCCCCTTACCACGCTTGTGACCGGTATCGATCGACTGTGGTGGTTGTACGCCAGGTATCTTTGGTGGGCGGCCCAGTCGCATGGGCTTGTGGGCATCATTCAGCATGCGCAAGCTGGCATCGTGGATGGATTCAGTGCCACTCCATGGGTCGGCGGTAGCAAGGTCGCGTGTGTGACGGGAGGCAGAGGCGGGAAGCTCTGCCTCAGATGATCTGAGGTTGGCAGCGGTAATGCGTTGTTCTAGCTGTGCTTTTAGATCCGGACTGAATCCAGCTTCTTCAACAGCTTTGATTGCGCCATGTCCGCCGGACATCAAGGCTTCTTCGCTCATGTCTCGCAGTCGCCGGGTCAGAGCCCCCTCTTCCTTCTCTTCTCCAGTTTTTCTGATTGAGTCCGCCTCTTTTAGATCCTCAATGTCATTGCCTCCCTCGTTGGGCTCCTTGTCCTGCGTTGCCGCTTGCCCATGCCACCTCACATTGCCGCCCGCGACGGCTCGAACCGGTGCGAAGACATGTGGTCTTCGTTTTGTGCGCAGGGAGCCGGCACAAATATATCGTCTGGACAACTTGGATACGGGCATACAGGGAGCTTCAGCAATGAACCGTGTCGTGGCGAAGGAATGGATCGGAATGCAAAATAACCCTAAACATTGCATCTCTCACGTCATGAAGGTAAGTTCAAAGATTAGCGCGTCGTCGTTATCGATAGCGGGGTTCAGCCGAGGCTCCTCCGCGGGCGATTGAGCCTCACACTTATTTACATCTAATACACTAGTTTACATTTAAGCTATCTGTCATCCGCTCTTTACTTGCTGCTAATGTGAACTTGTTAGTCCCGTCGACAAATGATGTGGGCCCACACCACGTCAAACTATAAACAGGAGTACCAGACCTTACTTCTATCAGCCCTCAACTTCTAACTATGCAACTGTTCAAAGCAATCATGACAATCGGGGGAAGCCCACAGATACACTAATCTTTTCGTTAGGAAGATGACCTGTTGATTGGATCTTGATAAAACAATGTCTCAGATTCAGGCAGTAAGGCTGGTAATGACTTTAGGGGGTTTCGAAGTCTGCCTTGTGAACTACTCGAAAACGACTTCCTAATTCCTTCGCATGCGTCCACATGATACCACCTCCAATAGATTTGTCACGTTGCACTTGGGGTCTTTAGACATTCGTTGTGTTGATTGGACGACGAGTATCAATGTCTCGATACGAGCAATGCGAGCAGCTCAGCCTCCACAACAAAGCTTGGCGCAATCAACTATGAGATATACAAGCAACACGGATATCAAAACATGTACTCGGTTTCCTGTTCTGCTGAAACTGATACATAACACTGCGTGGTGAGATATCCACTGATTTGGCAGAAATCAAATACAAACATGGAAAAGCAGAAGGTAGACAAACATCAGTAAACCTGTTTCTATTATTTGGATTTCTGACATATTATAGATTCCTATGACAGACGTCACGCCAGTATCTCCACTTGATGAGATTGAAGTAAATCGCGTTCGTACAGAGACGACTCTGCAGTCCGAGAATGCCACCAACCCACGATCAACTTTCCATGTATACGCCAAGCACGAATGTCACAAGTGTATTTCGCCAGTGATAGACCCAGGAAAAGAGAGATGGTGTGGCCCAAATCAAAAAGAACAAAAAGCGAGGCGTTTGAAGAAACAGGAGCGCAAAAAATCCGGATTGCCCCCTGTCGAGCCGGATGACAATGCTTTCTTTATGCATCAACCATACCTGTCGTTCCATGTACCACCTCGAGTCCTGTATACGGGCAATAGCAAGTACACGGCGAAGCCTGCTGTTCTTATACATGACGGTTGTTTCTGGAGAGATTACAAGTTACAATTAGGACCGGCAATCAGCCAACCAGGTGTGATTGACCCGCGCGGCGTAGTCTCGTGGCGCCATAATGGAGGTGACAAGAAGGCACTCAAGGCCGATGAACACAAGCTCAAGGGCTATAAAGTCAGAGGATGGAGACTTTGGGGAGAAACGGGAAAGAAATATGTACAAACTGTCAGAGCGAACCGAAAGGCAGGTAAGGGTACGGATCCCGATGTGTTGGAAGTCAAGGGTGTCGAATTCGAGAAACCCGCGGTAGCCGAAGAAGTCGTTCACTTGCGATGGATGAGTCCTCTATCTCGCCATACTCGATACTATCACTTCCACTACATGGACATTGATTTTTACTGGAAAGGAACGGCTTCAGTCAGTGAATCGCGGGCTTGTGGCCTGTTTCTACGCTTCAATCACTTGAAGCTCGTTGCCAGACTTCCAATCGTTGACGACAAGAAACATGAACAGGGTGAACCATGTTTGGGGAAATATACGTGCTCCATTGCAGCCAAGAAGAATGGCACACTAGAGTTTTTCGACGATGCGATTTTGCGTTTGGTCGATGCATACGCCCCCTCGATGCTCGGCTTGAGTTCTGGTGAGGGGCAATTGGAGGAGAATATGAAAAATGAGAGAGTGTTGAGGCTGAGGAAAAGTACGCTGTACCAAGTATTCATGGCTACAGCAACGTGCATGATTCGGAGTGAAAAGGAAAAGAGGCACACACTGTTAGAGCTGTTGACGGTTGCAGCAGAAGGTGGAGGCTAGGGGGGCTGATGGGGCAATAGAAATGGCATGGCCATATTACTATGTGAGCAATGATTCTCTTGATGTGATATTGCCAGTACTTTCCATGAGGATATGGTTGATCTCGTGAGGTATTGCTTCGGCGCGATGACGTTGTTCCCGCTGCATGCTAATTGTCTGTGCTTTCCCAGACATCTGTAGTAGCAACCATCCCACCACTGTCAAAACCGCATCACCATGTCACAACTTACCATTTCACGCGTAGTCCTCCGGTATAGCTTACATGGCGCCCCTCGCACATCACTGAGGCTCATTGAGGCGCCAGGCCGTATTCTGTAAGCTCCAATGTTGCTTGGCGCAAACATGAAAGGTCCGCTCCGCTCACACCACCCAGGCCTGCTCTCCGCTTCACAACACCACAATGCTCTTCGCACGCCGTCCGTGGGTTTTCCTCAAATCCGCAGCTGCAAAAAAAGGCGGGTAAAGCGAATAGGTCGCACGCCCGAACCGACTCGAACCCACCAGTGAACAGAGGTGCTCCGCCAACACCCACCGATGAAGCCTACGACGTCTCTGGGCTGGAGTCGCAGATACTCAAGGCAATTGAGAAGCTCACGCATGAGCTGAGTCAGCTACGCAGCGGAGGAAAGCTCAACCCGGATATCATAGAGAGCTTGAAGGTGCAATTGGGCACGGCTGGACATGGCAAAGAGACTGTCAGGTTGGGAGATATTGCCCAAGTCGTTCCAAGAGGAAGAGTACTGAATGTAATCTGCGGAGAGGAAGGGGTATGTTCCGACAAAATCCGTGGTATGTGACTGTAGCATGTCCAGGCTAACATTTACCAGCATATCAAGCCCATAACCACCGCCATTGCCGCGTCACCGCACTCTCTTACACCTCTCGCCCCCGAACCCTCCAACCCTCTGACTATCCAGGTCCCTCTGCCGCCGCCGACTGGAGAATCACGTCGTGCAGCGGTTGAGTCGGCTGTCAAGGCTGCCGAGCGTGCCGACAAGCTCATACAACAGGCCCGACAGGAACACAACAAAAAGCTCCGAAAGTACGACGTCAACCGCGAAGTGCTCCCGGATGATCTCCAAAAGGCCAAGAAGTTAATGGAAGACGTGGTTAAGAAGGGCCATGTTGAGGTTAAACGCATCAGTGACGGTGCCAAGAGGGTCCTTGAAAGCCAATAGCGGTACACAGGCTGTATATACTGTATACGCATCCGATGCTCCGAATTCTGACATGATGTATTGAAATGTCTAGGGATTGCCCTTTGCGTTACCCGGTTCCATCTTTGACCCGACGGCTTGACTGTTTATCATGCGCCATGGCTTACCTCATAGCCGGACACGGCATAGGGCCTTCACCTCGTTTACCTATATTATTGCGTCAAGAACATGCTTACACCGATGACGTTCCGCCCAAGATAGTGACTGCTCACGAAGTGTTCTTGTAAAATCAACTGGCCGTGGAAGGCAGGTTAGCAAGTGAGGCTTGAAAGAAAATTCGCCAACATACATATTAATGAGTCAAAAGAGGGCTTTCGGCTGTCGTGTCAAACTATTTCCGGCCATCTGTACGTACCACGCCTCAGCCACGACTGACATCACACCCGATCGACAACGCATCGCATACGCCGCAGCTCATTTGCTGGCATGCGCATGCGGCGGGTAAGCTGGACGGAAACGGCGTTTCCGCAATAATAATTTGGTCAGGCCTTACAAGGAGGCTTGCCCATTGCAATGGCAAAACTATCGCATGCGTCCACTCAGATGCCCGCTGCAGTCAGCACTCTCGACAGCCTCGCTCTGTCCGTTGCCAGACCGCTCTTCGACCGCCACACTACAGCCTGGCCTATTGTTGAGTGTGGCATTTACTCCAGGATGTCCCCACATTGCAGCACATTCACCGTATGCAAAGAAAATTGATCCCCGGTTTACTTTACCTGTCAGCTGTTAATTCAATCTTTTGTGTGCTCCTCACCCGAGAACGTCAGCACGGCGACGCTGGAAAGCAATCGTGTAGCACCCGCACCACCGTACATGGCTCTAGTGCTGGGCACAGCTCATATTAATATTCAACGGTGATTTCAGTCATGGCACCGCTCAGCAACATCGATGGCGAAGTTCTGGCTATGAGCAAGCGGTGGCCTGAGCCAGCTACGACCCGCACTTCACCACCCACGCGAGCCAGTATGACTCTTGAAGGAGGATTCCTAGAAGCATGGGCACAGGGATATAACGTGGGCAGCTTCATAATTCTCATATTAATTGTCCTCTGTAACTACCGATCTGGAATCTTGCTCCATAAACTCATTCTACTCGAGGTGAGACCAAACCCTGCCTATAGTCCCAATCACGTTCTGATATCCAAAGCTTCTCCTCGCAATCTGGCACGGGACCTTTATCTTCTTCGAGGACCCGCACTACGGATGGTACTTATCGTCAACCGCCACGCTCCTCTTCATCTCCTATTTCCTGCACAATGTCGTCGCCTGGCTCAAAATCCGGCCTTTTCTGCCCCTTTGGGGCTCTCGCTTCTTCATCATCTCGCTCCTCTGCGTGCAGCCCTTCTGGATCGTTGAAGCTTGGTCCAACTTTGCCTACTTTAACCAACTCGCCATAGGATCCAGGGTCAACCTCCGCACACGGCCTTGGGAAGCCCTTGTCCGCGACCCCTGGTGGATCTTTACAACCTGGAAATTGATCAACGCCATTAAAAAGACATATACGTTTAGCTTGTGGACGCTGATCAGAATCAACCGCCGCTTCAGCGTAATGCTAGCCTGCATGATCCTCTCCATCATCTTCGTCCTCACCGACGCTGCCATCAGCGCAGCGAAACTATCAGCAAGCAGCGGCATAAATCCCTACTGGCGCTTCGCCCTCGTTTTCAAGTGCGCCTCGGACACCATTTTCCTGGACGATTTCAAATCCATGCTTGACGACATCATCGCACAGAAATTTAATTCCACAGTAGATACTACTGCGCCACGCCGCTCCGTGTCACAAACTGGTCGTGTTGCGAATAAGCGCTCGCGATCCATGTCGCGGGAGGAAGCTATGGAATCGAATATGCTAGAAAGATTGCGTACGCCATCGGTTAGTACGCGGGATAGCCAGACGAGAACTTCGAGGCCGAGATTCGGATCATTTTTTTCGTCGAAATCGAACCGAATGGAGAGAGAGATATCGTCATCGAGCCAAAGGGCAAGAGAGACGCCGTCGATTCATTTGTATCCGCCAGAAGCGAGCGAGGCCTCGTATTCGAGACATCCCAGCTATGATAGCCAGGGTCATGTCGAATTGACGAGACCGGTGCATGCGTTGTATCGGAATCATGAACTTAGGGCTACGGAGAGTGATGGGAGTTTGCTTATTGGAAGATTGGTGTGAGGGTGGGAAGAGTAGGAGGGAAGTGCTGGCAGTTTGAGGAGGAGCATTGTATGAGATAGACCTGCTGGCAGGCTACTGTAATGGGCTTTTGGGATATAGGAGTTTGGAAATGTGGATTTACGGGCTTTGTATGTGTATAATCGGGAAGGGGGATAGGGAAAAGGGGGATTGTACAGCGAGTGCTATGCATTATACCCCACGGCGCTTGTTGGATTTGTTGTATGGATTAAGGGACTGGGTACCGGATATTTGGTAAGCTATGTTATTCACTAGTCATTCATATTTAGTTTATTCGACGTTTCCTTTCATGCAGGCGTCTTGCTTGATCAGTGGTCTTTGAACTTAACTGCAGATGTGCAGAAGAACATTTATGCGAGAAAGTGGTTCCAAGTTGGAAGAGACTATATATAAAAGGTATTTAGTTTACATTACTGAAGAGAAAGACCTCGATCAGTGAAGTCATTTCGTATCATATCCACCCATGAGGTGTGCCCACCGCAGGCCTTGGAACCTGCACAGCGGCATTATCATAACTCGCACCAGACACTCTCCAACCCCCTCCCGGCATCAACCTAATCCTCACATTTCTACAGCTCTGGTCCACCCCACCCCACACAGTGGGCGGACTCCGTCCCCTCTGAGCCTCCTTCGGCAAACTGTACATCAGCGCCGGCATAGCTGATGTCTTCCATATCCCTGTTTGAGTATCCTTTGCAGTTCTCATCATAGTACATAGCGACCAAGAAGACGAGTTTGAGAACGAGCAAGAGGAGAGAAAAAGTGGGCCGCTCCCATTGCACAAGGATGTCTTGTTCCGTATATGAGGCTTGGCCTAGCAGCATCTGACGGCTGTTGATTGACCTGACGCGGTCTGTCATTGCAGTCTCGAGGCGCTCGACGTGCTGTGTGATGTTATTCGGTGCGAGCCACAGGCTGTATAGGAGGTCGCGTTGTAAGGGGCTGATATCAAAGTAGAAGACTTTTTCGGAGTCTAAGGACTACGGAGATTTTTTTTGATAATGTAAAGTGAGGGAAAGAAGTCCCTAAAAATGGTTATAAAGGCTTATGCTGTGACATTGCTGCCGCCGTATTTGATCGAGGGGTTGCTCTGGGTCGGAGCGATTACTGGGAGTGTGATAGTAACGGTTTCTTTGTATTCAATCCAGGTTGCATCGCCTTGATCTTTAAGAATATTCCAGGATATCCACAGATTTGGCCCATTGATGCTGTGTTAGAAGGATGACAAGATCGTTTGGTGGTATTCGCCTACATCGTACGATGATTTGATGGTCTTGACGCAGCATGAGAGCAAGCATTCGTGCACTAACAGGTGTCTTGTTCTGATAAATGCTTTCCCGGCCATCCGGGACGGAGGCAATTAGGGTATCGATAGGGTTGCGTATGTTTTTGAAGGCTACTGAACCGACGCCGTGGTAATGAATTCTGGTTAAGAAAGCTAGGAGGGAGGGAAAAGGCTCTAGACAGCAAAACTTCATCATTTTTGTTGCTCCTTATGTTGGGCACATAGCCCGAGATAAGTATACGCTGCGGTAATGTGATGTTCAAAAATGACTTCACTCCCGTTCCTTTGGATAAGACTCTTCATCAAGCGGTCCTTCCCTGGGTGCTCAATCGATTGTAGTATCAAGACAAGCAAAGGTGATGTGGATTAGGTCACTGACATCATCGCCTGAGCTGCAAACAGCAAAATTCTCGTATTCCAGCAAAGTGAAGATACTCTTGGGGCATGAAACATTTGGACGGCTTCCATTGCCAAATGGGGCTGCCTACATCCGGCAAAGGTAGCCTTGAACAGTTAACATCAACTCCGGATGTCCCATGAAATCTCCACTTGTCCGGAAGTCCGACTAATTGCTGGAAGAAAGCATTCGTCACAAGCAGGATTTTTTAAAATGACTCCTAATGTGACCAAAAGCGGCCTTTGGTGCCATACAGGAGCAACGGAGCATCCCACGCTGCCGCGATACTTTGTCAAAAATCTCAAAGTCACACATGGCTTGCGAGTTATCGAGCCGGTGTCATTCAATTGGCCTAACGTTTCTGAGGTAGGAATTATGAGGGCCGCCGAAGCAACCTATTCAAACATACTCGCTCGTGAGAGAAGCGTCTGGGTTTGGACCATGGCGGTTTGGTGTATCCAAGTATAGATCCCAATCACGTTGCCCATGCAGAGCGCACTGAAAAGGTAGGCTGCTGCTTCGAATAGCTATTGCAAGAGGTTACTTAGCGACGTATTGGATATTGTGCGGTCCCTTCTCAATCGGTATGCAAGGTCGAGCGAGGGGTTTTCTCTCGTTGAAGTGTGGGAGGGTGTGACATAGCCCATGCATGATTCAGTCGGCTTCAGGCGAGGTTTGCTGTGGATCAGTATCGTGAACCAGCTGGTGCAGTGCTTCTGCGAGATCGGAGTGCGCTTTCGCATCTGGAGAAGGCACACTTGTCGAGATGCGAAACTGTGGCTGGTGGCTTGGCGACTGCCGATTGGTGTCGCGCCCCCCACATACTCATAGTGGTTAGCTGTGGCTGGCGAGCGACGGTCGTCGATTGGTGTCGCTCGCCCCACCTACCAATCATGGCTAGCTGTCGTGGCTGGTGTTGTGGCTGCCTGGTAGCACCAATTGACAGCCGTCGCTGGCCGGTGGGGCGAGCGACACCAATCGACGGCCGTCGCTCGTCAGCCACCACCAGCCACCGTCGCGCACCTGAAGCTGCAACAACTTCGTCGGGTGCAATCAAAACAACAGGTGCAGCGTGCGCACGCGTGTGCCAACGGTATCAAAGTCGAAATCTGAGACAGCTGCTCACGATTCAGAATCTTGATCCAAATTCTGTGTCCAGAGGTGGAGTGAGAAGCGCGTCTTGGCAAGAGCATTGTGGTGTCGTAGCGCATCACCGGGTAGTGGATAACAACATGCTTCAATCAATCTTGCCTCAGCGGTTGCTTTTCAACTACTATCTCCTTCGATTATGGGTCGCCTTTTGATCTTCGGAGCACGATGTCTTGTCTTACTACCGAATAAGATGACGTCCATGTTAAGGAATGAGCGGTAACGCGGCAGTATCCTTGGACTGGGGGATACCTCAGCGCTGGACATAATGACAATTGGCCAAACTAAATCACGCGGACTGATGCTGAACGTTGGCCATGCTGAAATGAAAGAGCCTTGTTGTCTCTCATTACGAGGCTGATCTACATCTCGGGTTTTGATGACAATTGCCTGCCTCTAGTTCAGTTATAGGATCTGAAAAGTCTCTTTGTCTTGTTCAGAGTGTGTGAACATTAATCATTACATCGTAAATCGTCTATCATGTAAATATGTACATTAAAAGAAACCAGGTGGAGGCTGTGGCCTCGCAATAACCTCTCCAGAAACCCTCCAGCCTTGTTTCGGCAAAAGCCTGATCCGAACCTTGCTTGCGCGTTTACCTCTCATCACCCTCGGGCGAGTTGTCGATACAACTCCTTCTTGTATGTCCTTCGGCAGGCTGTACATCAAAGCCGGCATCGCTGAAGTCTTCCATGTGCCAAGATCTTCGTAACCCCCACTTGAGGTTTTCCTGATTGTTGAGACCAGGAAAACGATACTGAGAATGAGCATAGCTAATGGGAATGCGAGCCAGCCCCATTGGACTACGACATAGGTTTCTCGCGCTAGGGAGATACCAGGAATAAGGTCGTTGCTGTCCGTATCGGATCTTATTACGTTTGTAATAGCCTGAGCCATTCGTTCTAGATGAGCAGCAACATTATTCGGTGCAAGCCAAGGGCTGAAAGTGACAGAACGCCAGAAGGCATTGTCTTGGCGAGAAGTCATTATTTTGATGAATTTCGGCGCCGTTGGTTCAGCAACCGTGATCATAGATGGAAAAATTTCATCCAGAATGATGGCGAGATCGAAGAATGTTTCATTCGAAACCCCAAAGGTAGTCTTGTTCCCAGTGACTGAAGGGGGCTGTATGACGATATTCGCTTGGAACTCCTGGTAAGTCGATCTTGATTCGAAATCGTTTTTTGCCAACCATGGAAATTCTGCTTTTGTAGTGTTTATGAAAACGCCTTGTACTTCTTCTCGATAGTCCCCATCCTGATATGAGGAGCGCAGGGTCTTAACGCACCACGTCATCATACATTCCTGAGCAACAGGTCGCTTTTTTTCGTAGACGCTATCCGCCGTGCCGTCTACTGAGCTCACAATAATCGCATCGAGTATGCGATATTGAATGTGTTCGAAATTGATAGTTGCGCTGCCATAGAGAGGCTGTCTGAACATATTGGTGACCAACGGTAAAGTGCGCATTAGAAGCGTCTCGCCCGGAACAGGATCGGTGAGATTGGAAACTCGAAAGCCTGACATGAGGACCGGATCATCGCTAGTTGCGTTTAGAAAGTAGCCACAAGCAGTGTCTACAAATGGTTAGCGACTAGCCGCAAAAATAGGGCTAAGATGGCTCATCATGAGTGTCTCCCTAATGAATAAGGATAACATTCAGATAATCCATACCATAGAAAAGCCAGTTCCATGGGCGTGCATACCTCGAGGTGTGGAGATATTCAAATTAGGGCCTTTCGCATTCCTGATCCAGTCCATCTTTGTCGTAAGACAAGCGTATTCAAGAAGGTGTGAGACATCTTCGCAAGCGCTGCAAACCGCCAAGGTCTCATATGATGGCCATTCGCATCTACCCGTCGGACACACAAGCGGTATTTCGGCATATGTAGCGTCGCCGATTGCAAGCGGACGGGTCCCGTTCTGATCGTAGAAAAAAGGTCCAATCCCCCTCCTTAATTCGTTGTTGGTTACAGCCAAAGGATCAGCACTTTCGTCATCGAATTGAAATTCGACAATGGGTTTGTATTGGGCAATACGTGGGATGAAGCTTTCGCCCTCGAGTTTCCATCGCTCTGGCAAATCGGTCACTTGCTGGAAAAAGGTGTCGATCGCCAATAGAAGGATTGTTAAAAGAGCACCTAACGCAGCAAGAGACCTGCCCTTTGTACGACATAGAAGCATAATAGAGCCCCATACACCACGTGATGCTTTATCGAAGATCTCAAAATCAAATGCATCTCTTGACTTTTTACCATAAAACCAAGTCCATTTTAGCTGTCCAATCGCTTCTGATATAGGTAAAATAAGAGCCGCCGATGCCACTTTTGAGAGAATTGTAATTACGGTCAGGGCTGGAGCCCAAACGTTGAGAGATTTATTGTTCACGTGATATAGTAGTCCAATAATCGCGCCTATTAAGACATTTAGTAGTTTACACACATTAGACTAAGTGAGGAGTGTTGTACCTATACAGACTGCGCTTGTTGTTACGCTAATAATTTCGAATAACCAACGCTTCCAAATACTTTCAGACGCATTGTATTGTGCAAGCTTTTGTTCAAGGCGGCCTAGAAAGTCGAGCTGGCGCTTTTCATCTCGAGTAGTTTGATATATTTTAGGTGGCGGTCTAGGTACACTTTCGCATGTTGGTACATATAAAAACTGAGAATTGTTTGAAGTAAAGGGTAAAATATTCTCTTCCGTGCGCGTCATCGTATAAACGACTAGTGATTAAGATTTAAGAAGATATGATCTAGTTATAAGTAAAGGTGATACTCTGAATAAGGCGATAAGGCTTATTATTGGTAGTCGCGCCTGTAATAAGCGAGCGGCACGTTATCTAGCAAAGGCACGCAATCCGCTTAAAAAGCGTTGGGCGGCTTCGGGAGGACGGGTATGTAGTAGTTACACCAATCATAGAGTAGCAGCTTGTGGTAGCGCCATGGCGCAATGTGTCCGCAGAACCACCGATTCACGTGGACCAATCTATATTGGGCTACGTGAACAGTTAAGCGCTGGATGGTAGTAACTAGTGTACATACGTCGTTGAGCATAAGCGCTGGACGTAGCACGATTAGGAAATGCGGTTGCCAAGCACAAAGCAAGGCGAATTTCTTCCCTTGGCAATGTACGACGGGCATGCGGAGTTTTGACAGAAGCGATTTCTTGCCCAGCCTGGCGTACGAGGCTGAACTTGGAGAGTGCGCCAAGGCGTATGGTACCATCAAAATCACAGTAGGGACTGTGCATGGATAGGGCGAAGGTAGCCTGGAAAGTTGTATTACTTCAGAATAAGTTGATTTTGGTCCTTTGGATCAGCCCAAAGTGCCTTGGTTGAGGCTCTACTGCAACCAATCAATGATTACTCCCAAGCGTCGAAAGAACATCGTACTAGCTGAAGGTATTAACAATGGCATATCTGTTTCTTCATTATGTGATTAGCGAAAAGTGACTGGTTGTAAAATGAAGATACACGAGTCGCAAAACATACAGTACACAGGTGTCAGAATGCACGAATGTGGGAGCTAGCAAGAGTTAGGTGATAGGGTCAGGCCCACCGGTTTCCTAGGTGTGCTCTTTAGAAATTTTGCAAGTGTATACACAAAGATGAATTGTAATTCTTTGTATGAGGTGGCTCCCGAAAACGTTGTCGCCATGTGAAATCGGGCCAGCCAAGAGAGCTGCAGTGTGGGACTACACAAGACCCAAAAACTGGCCAAGTTTAGGAACGCCGATAAAAAACCTTGGTACTAGGAGAGGTGGAGATCTGAACCAAAGTGTGGCCAATATCACATTGCATAGGCACTGTGATAGATTGCGCATGATATTCAGAAACTTGTGTATACATGTGTTACATGGATGAAGGTAAAGTTAATATAGTTGACGTGAAGATGAAATAAAGCTGCATGAAAGAGGTTTTCGATAAGGTTTCTTCTTGTGGAAGGCGAGATAATGCAGGATTTTGGGTGAAGGACCTACCCACGATGAAGCTTCAGTACGAACATGACTAAGAATAAAAATAATGTCAATTTACTAGTGCCTAGTTTATTTATAGAATTTATAAAATATCGTTATATCATTAGGGAACGTGAGGATCGATTATTACGTCGTAAATCGTCTATTATATATATTTTTCATGTATGTGCATTAAAAGAAACCAGGCGGAGGCGCTGGCCTCGCGATCATTTGACCAGATACCCTCCAGCCTTGTTTTGGAAGCAACCTGATCCGTACTCTTCTGGAGCCTCTACGATATATCCCTCTCGATACAGCACTCGACATAATGTCATTCTGTGTATGTTTTGGTAGGCCGTACATCAGCGTTGGCATCGCCGAGGTTTTCCATACACCAATCTCGTTGTCCCTCGAAGTCTTGTACATTGTGGCGACTAGAAATACAATGCTTAATAGCAGCATAAGTAAAGGAAATGTCATCCACGGCCAGTGAACTGCAATATACGTTTCTCGTGCAAAGGCTGTACCTATAATAAGCTTATTACTATGTGCGTCCGACCTCATTACGTTTGTCATAGCTTGCGCCATCCTTTGTATATGGCGAGTGATGTTATTAGGTGAAAGCCATGGACTATAGCTAACTGAACGATACATGACCTGTGTCGTGAAGCTGGTTCTGATTTTGATAAATGGCGGTGCTGTCGCATTGAGTACCGTAATCATCGAGGGGAACATCTCTTCAAGAACAGAGACGAAGTCTACGAATGTTGTATTTTTGATACCGAAGTCGTTACTTGTTCCATTTGGAGCCGGTGGAAGTATGTGGATATCCGATTTAAAATCTATCAGAGTTCCACCCATGTCGTCTGCGTATTCAACATCCCATGGCCACGTTGTAGATGTCGAATTGAAGAAAGTTTTCTCCAGATCCTCCCGGTAACCACCTGAGTCGTATGAAGAGTGGAGTGTCTTGACGCAAAATGAAAACACGCATTCTTGGGCAACAGGAAGCTTCTTGTTGTAAACATTATCAACCGAGCCGTTAAGAGAACTGACGATCAGTGCATCGAGAATGGGATACTGGATGTGTTTGAAGTTGATAGATCCTCCATAAAGTGGCTTCATATCAGGATTCGTAGCAAGCGGCAGGGTGCGCATAAGAAGCGTCTCTCCTATTGTGCCATTTTCCAGTCGGAAGCCGGACATGAGAACAGGGTTGTTACTGGTAGCGTTCAAGAAATAACCACAAGCGGTCCCTGTGACACGAATGTTAGTGAATACAGTGAAACTGAACACAATTCTGAACCCAATGTTCTTGCACAGAAAGAAACCGTTCGATGGATCAATTAAGGTATTTAAGGGGGCCAGATTAGGGTTCACTTACCATTTGGCCATGTACTGTCAGTACCAGGACCAGTAGAGTTTCTTATCCAATCCATTTTCATTCTGAGGCAGGCATACTCGAGCATGTGTGACACATCTTCACAAGCACTGCACACAGCCAAAGTTTCGTAGGATGGCCATTCGCACCTACTAGTAGGACATACCAGTGGTATTTCAGCTTGGGTGGTATTACCAACCACTGTTGGTTGGGTTCCATTGTCGTAGAAAAACGGATACATTGCTCTCCGTAGGTCAGGGTTCAGTTGAGCCACCTCTGTGGTATCCCAAGTGCTATCGAACTGGCCATCGACTCTTGGCTCATAACGAATGCTGCGGGGAATAGAGCTTTCCCCTTGTACTATCCAGCGTTCCGGTAGATCAGTTACTTGTTGGAAAAATGTATCAATTGCCAATAAAAATACTGTTAAGAGAGCTCCCAATGCAGCGAGGGATTTGCCCTTCGTGCGGCATAAGAGCATGAATGAACCCCATGCTCCGCGCGATGCTTTGTCGAAGATTTCAAAATCGAAAGCGTCTCTAGATTTCTTGCCATTGAACCAGGTCCATTTGAGTTGCCCGATAGCCTCGGATATTGGCAGAATTAGTGCTGCTGATGCAATTTTAGAAAGAACCGTGATAATGGTTAGGCCCGAGGGCCATTTGTTAAGGGACCGGTCATCGATATAGCAAAGTATTCCAATAATCGCCCCTGTGATCTCTGTTGGTACTGGAAATATTTGTGTTGACACAAGCTGGAGAACTCTCACCCATACAGGCCGCGCTTGTGACGACGCTGAGGATTTCGAACAGCCAACGTTTCAAGATGCTTTCAGATGCATTGTATTGTGCAAGCTTTTGCTCAACGCGGCTTAGAAAGTCGAAAGAGGACTTTTTGTTGGCTGAGGCTTGGAAGTCTGAGGCTTGGAATGTTGGAGGCGGTGGTCTGGGTGCATGTTCGCCCATTGGCATGTATGAAAAATGAGATCCATTAGAAGTAAACGGTAGAATATTCTCTTGCGCTCGCGTCATCGTATGACTGACTGCTGACCAACATTTGAGAAGACATAATCCATGAGTGAAGGTGATGTTTTGAATGAGGCGATGAGGTTCATCATTGGTAGTCGCGCCTGTTGCATGCGGGCCTTCTAGCAAGAATAGAGACACCAAGATCCAGGCGCTTATCGGCTACTGGTAAGCGAGCGGCACGTTATCTAGCAGAGATGATTTGGTTGTGGATTTGCGCTTCGAAAAACAGCCGAGGGCAATACGTGTGAATCCAGAACATACAACTCAGTCATTTGGATATGTAGGTGTACTTGGCTTTAGTATCAGACCTGTAGCATTGATATCCTTAGCGCTGTAACCTGACAACACATGGAGCGTTGGGCGGCTTCGGGAGGAAGGGTGGTAGCTACACCAATCACGGGGCAGAAATCTGTGGTAGCGCCGTGGCGCAATGTGCCTACAGGACCGCCTTATCAAGTGGGCCAATCAAGACTGGGCAGGATGGAATGATCAGCACTCGCTGGCAATGAATACCGCGTCAAGCATAAGCGCTTGAAGTGGTACGATTAGAAAGAAAGGTTCGCTAGGCACAACGCGAGGCGATTTTCTTGCTTCAATAGTGCGTAGCGGGGCCAGCGGGATTCTAGCGGGAGCCATCTCGGATCCGTTCTGGGGACGGGGCGCCTACTAAACACATGACGCTATCAAACATGCAAGACTATTCACATCTGATTAGAAATAAGATAGTCCAAGAATGGCAAAGTCAAGAATTTTGTACGCATGCAAAGGCTTTGGAACACTGGGATGAAATATGGTGATGTCCACCAAGAAGTGCTTCGCTGCATCCCAAGAGTATAGCTATTACTGAAAGACTGTAGAACGAAAACTCTTCATTCCAATTCTTGCGGTAGACACTTGTCGTATAGACATGCGAATTTAGATTCTTGCAGCCAAAACGTGTCGTCATGTGCATACATCATATACTTAGTGTCTACAGCAAAGAGGCAGGTAAGGCTGAGGCTGCAGAGTTTCGAACTGTACGTTGCATGTTTTGATACTCCCATCGTACATCTCATACGTACGTGTAGAGTGACAAAAAGTCAAACTACACAGGGAATAAGTTCGGAAATTATCATCGTCATGTAACTATCGGCTAACAGAGCTGCCATGTGGCAGCTCATGCGGTCTGAAAGTCGGTCCAATGTAGGGACACCGATGAGAATGTCTTAGTTTTGGGATAAGCGAAGTACAGCGGTCGATATCACACTGCATGGGCCCTGTGATGCCCAGGGCCATGTGTTCATATCTAATGTGATTGCGGATAATGCAATTGTGGCAAAAACAAGAAGGAGATGAACTCGCATGAAAAACAGTTTTGATAAGGGTTACATGATTGTCGCCTGTATTGCATTCAAAGAACAAGTGAGGGGAAGCACAAAACGTCACTACCGGTACTGGGCGCTTAACCGGAATATGTGATTGGTGGATCACTCTCCCAGTGCACTCTGGAACATTGATGATACTCCACGTACCTAGGTATGGCATTCGCGATATGACAATTGTTGTACATATGATCAAAACCATTCTGGGTCTGCCAATTTGGTAAACGAGTGGTCCTCAGATCCGAGATGCAGTCCAGAAAAAGTTGTGTTGATATTCATTTCCATTGCAATTGCGAATTCCGTGATCATTGCATCGCCATAGCAAAAGTACCTCCAATCTCGGTTGTGGAGCAAGGGTGCGAACGCCACCGGATCATCAGAACACCACACCGCTAAGTCAATAGTCTTGTAGAAAGTCTTTCAAACAATATTAAATCAATGTTTGTAAGAATTTGATCAGAGAGGTCGGAGAAAGTGTAGCGCTGGTAAGTATTCCGTTCGCCCAGGAGTGGTGACTAGGTCGCGGGAACGGCTGATTGGCGCAAGGTACTGATCAAGCAGAGCCAATCGCTTCATCTCCTGTCAAGGGGTGAAAACGCCGCCAAGTCACATCGCGTTGCTATATGCCTTCGATTGGTTAGAAATCGTCCTGAAAATTGTTGAAAACTAACGCAATCACAAGCCCAGAGTTCAACTTACAGTTTCTTAGATCTTTGGACCTGCCTTGTTGGAAGCCTTTTCAGCGCTTCGAACGTGATAGCTCAGTGTGATGAAAATCCCTGAAGCCTTGTAATCCATTGCGTGACGTTCCAAGGCCTCCACAAATGTCAATCTAACGCCGCGTGTTCCAGTCGCGTCGGCCTTTGCGTTTCACCTTTCCTCATTCGTAGCCCAGCTTTCATGCCTTTGCTTGTTTCTCCCAATAGTTAAACAGCTCCGCATGGTGTGCGCATTGCACATGCTGTTCCGTGTGCTTTGCACCGCATAGGTGGCTTCAAAGGCGGTTACCAAGGTAATGAGTGACCACGGGTTGGAGCGCCAACGACTAGGTTGTAGGTGTCAATCGGTCGTACAGGTTTACCGAGATCGTTGTCGTCACGGAATGTCGACGAGGGATAAATGCGCCGATGCATCCCTCGTTGTGATTCTGGCATCCTTGCAGCATCCACTACTTCGCCTTTCTTGACAACCACGTTTCGCTGTGCGAACTTCCACTCTCTTAACTTTTTTAAACTTCAGCCCATTGAACAAACGGTCGTTCAGTAGAAGCTGCAATCATGCGCGGAACAGCCGTCTTTGCCCTTGCTTCTTTGGTTCTTCCAACTTTTATTGCCGCTGTCCCAGTGACTGGCGTAAGTGACATCAGGTTTAAGATTATGAATGAGTGCCCTAACATTTGTAGCAGGCTGCCTCCATTAACGTAGTAACGGATGTCAAAAGACATGCCGAGCCTACCGAAAACTTAGTCAAACGATCTCTCGAAGCGATCTTACCACCACGCGATGCCGAGGTTATGGTTGAGCGATCCCGCGGTGTTGGGCGCCCTGGAAGTAACTCGCGTAATGCCGAAGAAGGAACAGCCGAGCTGGTTGACCGAGGGCGTGGTATGAGGCCAGGCCAGAAGCGCGATGCGGATCCTACTGAGGATCTTATCGAGCGAGGGCGTGGTATGAGACCAGGTCAGAAGCGCGATGCGGATCCTACTGAGGATCTTGTCGAGCGAGGGCGTGGTATGAGGCCAGGCCAGAAGCGTGACGCAGAGTCAACAGTCGAGCTTGTTGAGCGACACCGTCTTGTAAAGCCAACCAAGAAGCGCGATGCTGAGGGTCTTGTTCAACGGGGCCGTATGGTGACGCCAACCAAGAAGCGGGACGTGGAATCTCTTGAAGATCTGGCTGAGGAGATTACCGTATGAAAACGGAGAGGGAAAAGCTCACAAAGGTTGTGACAGGAGGTTTTGTCACTTTTCGTTTCTCTTTCAACCTTTCTTTTTTAATTCCTTTGTATTCCAGATGTATTATAGATGACGGACACTTATTGCAGAATCTCTTGGATTGTGAACTCTAGGGACAATGAAAAAATCCTATATCCACCCTGGTGGTGGTACATTTGTCGGAGCTTTCGGAGTCAAAGGCGTAAATGCATTTCCAGAACTCCTCCATCCTCGCGTTGCAGACAACCTTACTTTGAGTTCTTTCGCTTGTGTTCTTGGAGTACCTTTAGAATCTGACTTTGCTAATCGCTTTTGAAAGTGATCGGGGAGACCATAAAGCAAAGTAGCAATTGCTGAGTTCTTTCGTATGCTCACTTGTCCTTTCTCGGTAGCGCTTTTGATGACTGTGGAAACGAGGAACACACAGCTCACGAATAACAGACAAAGCGGTAGACTCAGCCATGCCCAAGTAACCTTAACGTAGACCTCGGTGTCGAAAGCTTTACCATATACTGATTCGCCGCTAGATGAGGAGCGAATTACATTGGTGAGGGAGCTTGTCATCCTCTCCAGATGTCTTGGTATATCGTTCGGTACCAACCATGGGTTAAATTTTGGGATTTTGGCGTAAGCGATAGTGGGATTTCCAGTCCTCCAGCGAAAAACAGGGGTCTCAGAATAATTCGTGGAGGTGGTAAAGGAAGGAAATATGCGATCGAAAACGAGGACGACGTTGAACATAGTATCATTGTTAACGCCCCATCCATATTCCGGGAAGCCTTGGTCAGTTGGTGGCGCAGCAATAGTAACGTTCTCCAGATAATCCGTTATGATGATTCCCTCTTCTGGCAGTTCGTTTGTAGCCCAGGGGTATTCTCCCTTAGTATCATTGATAAATGTGTTTGTGACTTCCTCTTTGTAGGTACCCAGGTAGTAAGACGATTGTATAGTCTTTACACACCATGACAAGACACATTCGTGTAGTATTGGAATTTTATCCGCAAAGACGTCAGCAGAACTTGCCGTGCTAGAGATTAAAGCATCGACAATGGGATTTCGAACTTCCTTGAAGTTGATCGAGCCGTCTCCCCAAAGTGGATCGCGCAGAGGATAGCTCGTCAGCGGTACAGTTCGCATCATCAAAGCCTCTCCAGCTTTGTTACCTTGTTCGTCCAACATGTACCCAGACATGAGAATAGGCTGCTCACTGGTGGCGTTGAGAAAATATCCACATACTTTTGCGGTGGGATAAGTAGACTGATTACCAGTGAGCTGTGAGGTCCAGTCCACTCGTGTCTCCATACACGTAAAGTTTAGGAGGTTAGATACTTCGACACATTGGCTGCACATCCCAAGTGTATCATAGCTTGGCCAAGTACAGTTACTGCTAGGGCATGACAAGGGTATTTCCGCGCGAGTGCCGTTGCCGAAAGGAATTGGTTGTGTTCCGTTGTTAACGAAAAAGAGCTCCGCCACATTTTGAATTTCGCCGTTTAGGTCTGCCATGTCTACGCCGTTCTCATATCCAATATCGTAAACAGGTTCGTACCGTATGACTCGAGAGATGGAGCTGTTTGTATGTTGCAATGTCCATCGTTCTGGAAAGCTAACAACTTGTTGGAAGAAAGGATCTAGTGCAAGGGCGAATATTGTGACAAGAGCACCAAGAGCAGCAATTGTCTTTCCTTTTGTGTGAATAAGGAGAAGAAAGGCACCCCAAGGTCCGCGCGATGCATTGTCGAACATTTCAAAGTCCCACATCTTCTTTGAGTCGCCCTTAATGAACCAGCTCCACTTCAGTTGACCAATTGCTTCCGCTACTGGTAGAAGAAGAGCAGCTCCGGCGATTCGAGAAAGAACTGAAACAAAGGCATTCAAAGTGAGCCCCATACTGTCAAATGGCCACCTTGTCGATGGCTTGTCTTTGAGAACAATCAAGACAGCGATGATAGCAGCCATACAGATAGCACTGATCAACCAACTAACTATCTCGAGAAGCCATCTCTCGATGACGTTTCCCGAAGAGTTATAGTTCCAGAGTTTCTCTTCGATACGTTGTGCGATATTTGAGGCCTGTTCACCTTTCTCATCGTTGAATGTTGGTGGTTGGATTCTGATTGATGGTGGTTTGGGTGGACCACCACTGATTCCAAGACCAAGATGTGACTTGCGATCTTGGAAGTCTGGCCTCTCAACATCTGGGACTTGCTGTGGAGGCTTCAAGTGAGATTCACCAAGTTGAATACGAGGCCGGGTGTTCGGGATGAATTGGAGTTGGGGCCGTCGAGGCTTTTGACGCATGACCTCTGGAGGGGGTTCGGGAATCGGCCAGATTTCCGAGTGATGATCAGACGTTGTCTCTATAGTTGTTGTAGGGCTTTGCTGTACTGGGCTGATTGGTGGAGCATTGATGTGTGCTGGGCTGAGATGTGTTGGACGGTTTCTTGGAAGACTCTCTGGTGTTGTTGGTGTTGTTGGTGTTGTTCCATAAGTCTTGGTTGATGTGTGGCTATTGCTAGTGTCGAGGTAGATGGGGACATCTGGGAAGCTAGGCCAGTGCATAGGGCTTCGCTCTGACCGAGACATATTTGATGGAGAGCCCGGAATGGTAATCGGGTAAGGCATCAAAGAAAGAAAATAAACAAATAGGCTTCGTGGGGTATCTGAGAAGAATAGAAAATACAACGCGGTGATAGATTTACAAGTGGCCGAGGGTAGATGCCAGACTGAAAGTAAGCTGCAGATGTGTTCGTGTACTTACATCCAGGGCACTATAACAGTATTCAGCTACAGTATAAGCCTCTACTGGGGATATTTGTGATTGGACGATCCACGAAACGTCAAACACGGCTGTTACTGCGGCGTACATCCAACTATGCCTTGGTTCTGGGAATCGGTGCATTACCGAAGCCATCCGCCATTCAGAGTACGAGCTAGGCGCAAGGACCCGTCCCCAACCTCCAGCAAAGCATGCCAAGATAGGCGGCTGAGGACAGTTGCCTTGGCATCTGCGTGCGGCGTAGGCTTTGGGAGCTGTCATGCCGACGCACCGGTGAGGATGTAGCCGTACAGAGCGGGTGTATAACCGCTGGCGAGGCCGCACGGATAGCCTAGCGTATTCCTGTTTGGCGCCGTGGTATAAAAAACAACATGCAAGTAGGCATATTCTTAGTTTTGGCCCCATGAGGTCACGTTAATGTAGGATTGTGGCACAGTTATATCAGCGCTTCGAGCCTCACCATGTCTTGAAACCAATGCGCATGCCAGAAAAATTGAAGAGGCGTGTTACATCTGCTGAACAAGCGAATGAAGGTGAGCATCTCCAGTCTCAGAGGTTATCGCATGAATTTTCGTGGGTTGGTTCGTCTCGAAGGCGGCCATGACGGTCTTGTTTCCAAACTTTTTGGGGGTCACGATAATGATAGCGGGGTCCCGCTATCGTTAAGCGCGGAGCCGACCACCCCACATCTTTAAAAATAGCGGCCAATTACAGCCCAGAGAAAATATAGACACGTCGTCTAGTCGCTATTTTCCGAACATTCTGCATCGCTTCCATCGTACATTTATTATTTCTGTGCAAAGTGCATAGCACGTGCATGCATGTAGTACAATACACGTGATGGTAAATCTGGTGTTGGAGTAGGTCATTGTCATGATTTGGACGGAGGTCTTCAAAGCAAAAAGCATATCTAGAATGGTGGAGTAGTAGCACCAGGTTCAACGTCAGCTCTCATCTACTTCCAACACTTGGCTAGATAACTAATACCACCATGGCTTCAGGCTCAGTTTGTCATTCGATATATCGTAGCTCTGACACGTGTACCAACAGTGGCGCAGGACCAACCCAGCCCATTGGGTCGCGGCTATCCACCTACATGCATCCGATTTGGTACGTTCACTGGAAAATCGTTCACTTGCTTATCCTTGTTTTCACTTGGCATCATTGCTATTCGCTCGGTAGACTTCTTCGATGACTGGGTCAGTCGGGATCTCTTTCTTGTAGCCGCCAGACTTCAATCGATATCATGGTCACATGAAGGAATTATTGATATATCATCCTGAATGGCTTCGGTCGTGAGACAAATCGAGAAAACTGAGCGCCAGACTAACTTCATTCACTTTCCGGATGGCTGGTTTTGAGACATATCAGATGACAATAGCTCCAGGCTATCGTTTGGAACGCCACCATATTGCATAATTGTACATGGGCTAGACGGCAGAACGTTTATTAGATACTTCTACGTTGTCCAAGACAAAGCCCAGTTAGCCCGGTGGGCGATAAAGGCAGTACGCTGTGTGGTTGTATAGTACGCCATGTTGTAATCATATCATAGCCGCTAGCTCGTTTGGAGTAAGCGAATCCCGTAGTTAGTCTTGGAGGAAGTAGTCGTGAAGCTTACAAAGCACATGCTTATGGTTTAGTAGAGCTACTGTTCAAACCGAAACAAAACATTTCATCATTTCAAGCCCCTGCTTCGTATCTAGATTCAACGCGGGGAACTTGGGGAGCTCTGGTCCGAGTGGATACCTGGATTATCATGTGGGTCAACGGCAAACACACTTGCAAAGCATAAACCAACACATATGCAACTCCCTCTAATCTTGTCATTAGGTCGTTTCAAAAATTCCTGAAGGATCAGATAAACTAACAGCCTCCTGCAAATTCACGTCCCGAGCGCTAAACGCAACAACCTTTACGAGACCAGCACATGACCATGCCTATCCCAGCCATGACCATGCCTATCCCAGCCATGACCATGTCCTTTCCAGCCACGTCCAAGTCCGTACCAGCCCCCTCGATGCAAGGCCTCTACGCCTTCTTCTCCGGTATCTCATGAAGCTCAGTGACACCATCGCCCTGCCCAAGAATCTTTGCCGTCGTCGCAGCCAGCTTCTCACGATCTTGCTTCTCACTCTCAAACAAGAAAGTAAGTTCCTCCAACGTCTTACCATATGTTTCTGGGAACAAAAAGTAGATGAAGACAATCTCGCAACTCAGTAGCCCAATGTAAACGAACAAAAACTTCCAGTCGAGATCTTCGAGTCCAATGGGATTTGTGAACGAGCCTAACATGACTGCACATCTGTTGAATAGCTGGAACCAAGAGAGACCCTTTGTGCGGACGTAGTAGGGGAAGATTTCGACCATGTAGACGTACGTAAGCGCGTTGTAGGCAATGTTGTAAGAGGGTTTGTATAGGAAAATCATGGCGAGGACTGCAATGCCTGATTCTTTTGAGCCCGTGATGCGGTTGCGAGCTTGTGCAATGGTCCATGCAGTGTAGACGCACAAGAGACAGCTCGCACATAGTAGGTACATTCTTCGTCGGGGGAATCGGGGTGTGATAGACGCCATAACAAGGGCCATGAGAAAACCCCAAGCTTCTGATCCGAGATTAAAGCGTAGTTGAGTGTGACTGTCTTCGATGCCAATTTTCTCCATGATGGGTACCAGGTACTGGCTGATGAGGTTGTTTCCGCTGTACTGGACGAAGATACCAAGGCCAGCAGCAACAAGAGCACGGTGCCGCATGCCTTTTGTTTGGAAAAGTTCTGCCCATCCGCGTTGACGTGAATCGTTTTCGATCTCGAGTGCTTTGCGAATCTCGGCAAGCTCGACGTGCGGGAGTTCATTGGAAGCATCACCTTCGGCATGGTACTTGATCAAAATCTCGAGTGCTTCCTCGCTTCGGTCTTTTGATACCAGCCATCTGGGACTCTCTGGTACCGTAAATGCGAATATGAGCTGGATAACGGATGGCGCGGCCTGGAGAATAGACGGAAGACGCCAGGACCAGTCATTTGGGATAAGCCTTGTACGCAAAACAATACCTGCACCGAGGACTGATCCAACCCCAAAAAAGGCATTGAACATACTACCAAGGAAGTGTCGTTCTTTCGGGTGACCAAGTTCACCTAGAAGTGCAGCACCTGAGATGATAGCGTAAACGATACCATGACCGAGGAAAATACGGCTGAAAACGAACATGGCCACTGTTGGAGCATTAGCCAAAACACGAAAAACGCAAAGTATGTCTCTGCTTCAACATACGATTTCTTGACAATCCCTGCATGATTGCTCCGATGATCATAATCGTTGATCCCACCACAATACTCTTTCTTCTGCCCAGATGGTCGGATACAAGAGAAACAAGAGGGATACTCGATATAGCGCCGATGTTGTAGCATGCGACCAGCAATCCCAATTGGCCTCCCTTGGGATGATTGAAGTAGTCCTTCCAGTAACTCAGTGCTTGCATACCGTTCATCATGGAGCTACAACCAGTCAGCCAAAACGACACACTTCTCGAACTTGGAAATCACCTATCAAATCCTGACGTTGACTCAATGAAGAGACAAAACGGGACAAGAAGCAAATACAGGCTTCGAAGATTCGGTTTGTTCCACCATCGCACCTTGTCCTCTGCGACTATACGCTCGATGATGCCTTCGCCCGCTTCTGCGACTATCGGAGCCATTTTGCAGGAGTCGTTCGAAAGGGTTTTGCTCCTCAGAGTTAAGGAACTGGGGTGCTCCAAAACTCAAGAGACAGAATCACCTTCCCAAAACACCAGTATATATAGATTCAAACTCTACGATTAAACCTAGCAAACCCCCAGCAAACCCCACCGGCAAAAAACCATCTCCACCAACAACACCTCCAAAGTCGGAACCGTACCCCCCGAACCGAATTTCCTCCTCAGGCACCCCATCCTGAGCCCATTGCCTTCCCACCCTCATTAACCTTTTCGTATCAGTCTTGGCCTCTTGCGGGGTCAGCACCGACATCCATCCTCATACGTGGAAAAGCTCTCCGCGAAAGCCACTCCAGAAGCTTGTTACCAAAAAAACAAAAAGGGCCTGACCAGCCCCCTCCCCCCCCTTCCCGTGGCAGCGAAAGAAACAAAGAAAAAATACAAGGAAAACCGGGCCGTATTGTATGTGCGAATGTCGATCGTTTTTTCCATTGCGACGTTGAATAGCAACATGACCAAAATCCAAGGCTTCGCTAAGCACGTTACTAACAGCCAAGGAAAACCCGAGCACACGAATCAGGTATCGAGGCGTTACACTCTCTCTTCCCTTGTAAACTAACTTATCCCAGCACCCGCTACCAAGTATCTACCTATCAAGCACGCGATCAACCCGAGCACACGAATCACACATGCCCGATTCTTTCAAGCCTCGCCCATACACACCCTCCACCAACTCAGCCCACAACACCCCCCTCACGACTAAATTAAGCCAAACCCCACCACCTTTTGTAATATCTACCACAACTACCTATTCTCTCGTAAATTACCAAAAAAAACCCCTCCTCCATACATTCTCTTCTCTCTCTCTCCAAAAGAAAAAAAAACACAACCCTTTACCAAACTCCACGCCCTCCAACCTGCCCCCCCCCCTACCTAGCACGATAGACCCCCGCTAATCCGGGGTACCGTAGCCGCTAACCCCCATACGCCACGGCCCGTGTCAAATCAAGCTTCGCCTTTCTACCTTATCCCCCCACAACACAACACACAGACCTAAACTACTTAAGATCACGGGAAAGATTAAGTAGTCCTGAACTCGGGTCCCTTCCTTCCTTCCTTGCAAACTTTCTGAGAAGTTGGTTTTGTAAAGCAAAACAAGCATTGGTGTTTTTGTTTGGCGCTGGGCGCTGGGCGCTGGTGGTGGTGGTGGTGGTTTAATATATATTGTGGCTTTATATCCGGCGAGTAGGAGTGGGAAGGGGGGAAATAAATGTGTACTACACGGGCTCTCGCAAGATGAGTACGGATTCGTATAATTGTTATGTACGGCAAGTTCCGTTCAGTAGGTATGAATGGAAAATTCCGTGTGGTAATAAGTAATGGTGGTGGTCATCGTCGTCGTCGTGATGGTGTTGGTGGTGGGATTAAGCCTGGTTTCCATACCCGAGTTTAGCACTTCTTTTTTTTGGCTTGGCTGGGCTTGTCATGTAGGTTGTTGCCAAGGGAGATAACGGCGTAGTAGCTTGTCAACAACACTTCATCTCATACGAAACGTGAAAGAAAAAAAAACACCGGCGAAGAGACGAGAAATCAAAATGGTCGTGTAAAAAGTATCATTTTCGCTTTTCCTTAGACTAAGCTTCCTTTTTTCCTTTTTCCTTTCCTCTTTTCCTCTCTTTTGGTGGAAAAGAATTCCCGGTCCTGTAACCAGAGGACCACAACCGACGCCGTAATATTCCATGATCATACCCAAGACATAAATATCTACACAATAGCACCCTATTACATCCGCTAACATAGCTCCTCAACACACCAAGCCATTTACTTGGCGTTCTCGGGGCGGAGAGAACGGACAGCCTTTCCGGCGCGCCAGATCTCGAGGTCGTCAATCTCCTTGAGCTCTTGCTTGTACTTCTCACGGTAGTCGGGCTGCGAGTTGTACTCGAGCGAGCGCTTGGTCTCGGTACCGTTCTCGACAGAAGTGTAGAGGTCATCGAAGACAGGCTTGAGGGCATTCTTGAAGCGCTTGCTCCAGTCGATAGCACCACGACGAGCAGTGGTAGAGCAGGCAGCGTACATGTAGTCCATGCCGTTGGCACCAATCAAGGGGTACAGAGACTGGGTAGCCTCCTCGACGGTCTCGTTGAAAGCCTCAGATGGGCTGTGGCCACGCTCACGGAGAACCTCGTACTGGGCAAGGAACATGCCGTGAATTCCACCCATCAAGCAACCACGCTCGCCGTAGAGGTCAGAGTAGACCTCCTTCTCGAAGGTAGTCTCGTACATGTATCCGGAACCGACGGCAACACCGAGGGCAACAGCCTTCTCCTTGGCCTTGCCGGTAACATCTTGGTAGACAGCAATGGAAGAGTTGATACCACGGCCCTCACGGAAAAGCGTGCGGACGGTACGGCCGGAACCCTTGGGGGCGACGAGGATGACGTCAATGTCCTTAGGAACCTCGACCTTGGTGAGGTCCTTGAAGACGGGAGAGAAACCGTGGGAGAAGTAGAGAGTCTGGACCTGTTAGATGGATTCTCGGTGGGTTTTTGGAGTCAGAACTTACCTTTCCCTTGGTAAGCTGGGGCTTGATAGCGGGCCAGGTCTCGGACTGGGCGGCATCTGAGAGGAGGTTCATGACAATGGTGGCCTTGCCAATGGCCTCGTCAATGTCGAAGAGGTTCTTGCCGGGAACCCAGCCGTCTTGCTCAGCCTCCTTCCATGAAGCACCGTTCTTCCGTACACCGACGATGACGTTGAGGCCGTTGTCACGCATGTTGAGACCCTGGCCGTGGCCCTGGGAGCCATAGCCGATGAGGGCGAGGGTGTCGTTCTTGAAGTATTCCTGGGTTGATTGTTAGCTGAAGCTCTGATAGAAACCATGTCAATTCGATTGACGTGTCAACAAACTTACCAAAAGCTTCTCCTTGGGCCAGTCGGCACGCTCTGTTTAGCATCGTCAGCCATCGTTTGCTTGTCTTGTACATCCAATTGAACCTACCGTAAACAGTCTCCTTGGTACCGGCAAAGTCAATGGTCTTGACACCACGAGTTTGCTGGAACTGGCTGGTAACGGCAGCCCTGGGGGCGGCCTTCTTTGCACTAGCACTCAGAGCAGAGACAAAAGTCCTCTTCTGGGCTGGAGCAGCCGCCAATTGGCGGGCGGATTGGCGGAGGGCACGGGTGACGGGTCTTGAGGCCATTGTGAATGTGTGTGTATGTGGATTGGGGTATCTTGGGGTCAGAAATACTGGGCGGGGATGGATGGCTTTTAAATTTTCGGGCTCGACTATGACCACAGTATGAATTTCGAGTTCTGGAGCTTAGACCACGCCGATTATCGCTGCCCCAGACCACTGACACCCGCTCCATCGCATCGTCGGCCAATGAGGCGCCGGTATGTGTCCGGTGCGGGGCTGCTAGCAGGGGTGGTGGGGGGTCTTCGGGGAGAGATGCGTGTCTCCGACAGCGCTTCACATGGTGGGAGCCGCTCCGTAACACAGTCATACAGATGATTGCACCGAAAAGATAGACAGTGCTCACTAGGGGCTGCACGTGCTATCGTTATCATCTCTACAGCGTTTGACAACCACGTAGTTGTCTTGGGCACCGCACAGCAGTGGGCCAGACAGAGCTCTCGCCTTCTGTCCGGAAAGGAACTAAGCTGACGGCACACAAAGTCTGCATGGTGATGCAATGCCCCCAAGTAAACACTGTTGCCACGCCACTGCTTTGTTTTCCCACACAAAAATTGCGACGAATGTGTTGACAATCATGTTTTTTTACATATGAATTTCAAGCCAGATTGGTATAGAATTCCGACCAACTACATGCGCCCAAAAGCTGTACCACCTTTCCCAAGCATACCACGTCCTCATACACATGCTGGCCTCCTACATTTGCCCATGCCCATGCCCTTAATCCTTCTCAGATTGCAACCGTCTTCGCCTCTCACTCTTCACCAAACCCTCAATGTCATGTCGTGTCTCATCAATATAGTCTCCCGTGGAAGAGCGCTGGGCACTCGCGCAGCGGGATGTAGGATAGCCCTGCAGATATGCCGTGTGTCTCATTTGAGTACGCGGTCGAAGCTCTGTCCCTTGACTGTGCCCCCTCCCAGCGACGCGCGCACGTTGCGCTTGAAGCCTTCTCGGTTCGCCTTGAGGTCTTCTGCAGCCTCCTTGTTCAACGGATCCGAAGCGTTTGGTTCGAGGAAGAGAAACTGCATCCGTTAGTTGCGGTCACGCTCTAAAGAACCCTGAACCACATACCTGTAACCCAACAACAACAGCATTCAGGTTCAATACGGGTTTCCAGTCTTCTCGCAGAATGTTCAGGCAGACGTTGCCCTCGAGATCAATGTTAGGATGGTAGATCTTTTGTGTGCACTTGACTTTGGGTGGGTCGTGTGGGAAGTTCTGGTTGATCTTGAAGTCAAACTTGAAGCGGCCGCCCTTGTACATGCCCTCGTCGGGGTCGATTGTAAGTTCAAAGTTGAGAATATCGTCTGGGTTGGGGAAGTGCGTCTTCATCGTTGTGCCGAGGGATAGCTCTTCGAGATCTTGGTTCGCGTTAGCTACGCGCCTACTACCCTGCGGATTCTGAACACTGCGTACCTTTTTGTGTGCGCAGTTGGGCCGGAGTGACCTTTTTCTTCTTGCTTGACGCAGCAGCCGCAGCCTCATCTTGCTGCAGCTGTTTCTTCTGTAGAAAGTCTGTCAGTATCCGACAATGTCCACAGGCCTCATGCGCAAGTCTCTTCTACGTATAATCGTACCATGGACCATATTTTCATCATCTTGGCGGTATTGTATGGGGTCCCTGGCTACTGCCTTCGAGTCGGTCGCGCGGGCCAAGAGGAGTGGGAGAGCGGCGGGGGGCGGTGGAACCGATGGACCGGGTGGTTTCGCTGACGTGTTGGGAAACCCGGATAGCAGAAAAGGAGCAAAGGGCTACAGAAGCACAAACGCCAAAGGAAATACGTCTATGTCAGTTATTGTGGTGGTGAGAAAGAACAGTCGGGCAGGCTGCCACGACGGTCGGGCGGCCGTGCTCTGACGTGGGGTTCGTCGCAGTCTCCTGCGCCACTTCCCCTGACTCAGCACTCTACTCTCTCATCATGTTCACTGGCGCATGCTTTGGCCACCTCAGGTTGTAGCCGGCATATGATTCCTCGAAGCTCGACGGATTCTTTCACGCATTCAAGTCTTTCAATAGTACCTCTAGCACTTGCATTTACACCACGGCCACATCATGACGCCGACACCCGTAAGAGAAGCTCTGCACTTTGCAGATGCGGAAAGCAAGCAGTTTATAGAGTATATGCCGCCAGTTGCTGCTCAGACACCAACGGAAAAGCCTTTCGTCACATTAACCTTTGCCACGTCCCTCGACAGTCAGCTGTCCATTGCCCCAGGAGTGCAAACGGCACTTTCAGGGCCACAGTCCAAGTCAATGACACATTTTCTACGTTCCAAACACGATGCCATACTGATTGGAGTGGGCACGGCCGTTGCCGATAATCCATCCTTAAACTGCCGGATAGAGGGTGTGGGTGGTTACGGTGGTGAGGGCCTCATCGGGCAGCCTCGACCGATTGTTGTTGATCCACAATGCCGTTGGCAGTTCAGTGAGGAGAGCAAGGTGCTGAAGCTTGCTGGGGAGGGTAAAGGAAAGGCACCGTTCATCATCACTCATGTGGCACCATCCGAAGCTCGCAGGTCTGCACTGGAGAATGTGGGAGGCAAGTTCTTGCTTCTGGGGCCGTCACCTACACAGAAGAGCGAGACTACTTCCTCATGGCACATGATTCTGGATGCATTGAAAGAACAAGGCATACGAAGCGTCATGATTGAGGGTGGCGGGTTCGTCATCAATGACTTTCTCGGCCCGGGCCCTGCATATTCGCTCGTGGATTCGGTTATTGTCACCATAGCTCCGACATGGCTCGGAAAGGGCGGTGTTCAGGTTTGTCCTGATGGAGGTTCTGACCGACTTCCTGTCACCAGATTGAAGGATGTCAAATGGATACCACTCGGAGAGGATGTAGTGCTCTGTGGACGACCAAACACGTCGCTGCGGCAAGGACACAAGCCGTAGTATATTAGCAGTCGTAATATACAATTTCTGTTGAGCCAACCGGCTCACTCAATCCAAGGTAGCTCATCAGAGACTTCCCCTTGGAACAGCTCTTTGACGCTGTCTTCCAAATGCTTGAAGTGCCTTGCTCCTGTACTGGCATTCCATCCTCGTAGTTGCCTCTTGCCGCCGAGTAGAGCGCCAGTGCCCATAGGGTCCTCCTTCCACGCTGCGTATCCAGACTTCTCCTCTCCTAGAAGGGTACTTGTCAATGCGTCTTGTGTCATGATTGGATCAATACCCTGGATCTGGATGCGACTTTTGGGCCATTTGATTGTCGGGGCATGTAATTCCAGGAACCGCTTGGCTTTGAAAGCATGGGTGATGACACGAATCTGCTTGGGATATCTGCCTGTGACATTCCGGAATCGCAAGATGCTGAACAACAGGTTTTGAAACGAATCTGTGGCTTCTTCTTCCAACAATATGTATCCCTTGTTATAGAGACTATGGGTAGTTGTAAGTATGCTTCATGCGCCAACAGTCGGCCAACAGGCTCACATACTTGTAAGCACGGCCACCGCCCAAGTGGCCTTGGGCTAGTTCTGCTGCAAGTGCTGCGTGATAGTAGGATCGGGCCTCTGTTTTCAGCGTGTCTGCGCGTTTGGTAGCCCCGCCACTGAAGACAAGGATGCTCGAGATGGGATGGTTAGCATCTGTGCCCACAGTCAAGGCATCGATGCCGGCTTTGATGTGTGATAGAAAAGTCTCGTGCTCGCCGGGTTTACCAGCAGCGGCGTCTGGCTTTTGGAAGGGAGCAAGAAGCCAATTGGACTCGTCATACGGACTGAAGAGCGGAAGATGAGGAGTGTCGGCGTTGGGCAAGAAGATGGCGTGGCAGCATACAATGACGAGGGTATGTACATTTGGATAACTTGGGCGTGGAATCACATGCGGCGGGTGGACGAATGGATCTTGGTTCGGCAGCAGCTGCCCGTGCTCAACGGTCGGCCGTGCTTGAACCTTTTCGGGTGTCTTGGCAGGGCTGGCTGTAGATGCTGACGGCTGTGACTTGGACTTTGATTTGGATCTTGGGAGGTCCACCAGGGGTGCGGCTGAGGCCATGACGGCTCGCGCCGACTTGATCGATGTGGGGTAATGGTGCTAAAAGTCGGTGTATGTATGTACCGGGTTGGTGAGCGGACAGTCGAGTGGAGGTATGGTGTTTGGGATGTTGCACGACGGGATGGTGTGACAAGCATGAAATATGCGGGGTAGTATGGGATTAGCAGAGACAGAGATGAGGCGAGCCAGGCGGGCGATTGGGCCAAGGCATGAGAGTGGTTGAGGCATCCATTGTCATTGTGCATGCCAGTCACGTGGGTGGAGAGGGCTGGATGCCATGTCTACAGTGCTACACGACTGAGGGTGAGAGTGGGAATGGCCCAAGTCGGCCTTCTGTTGTTGAGACGCGGATGACGGAAGGCGCGCTCCTGACGCGAGACGGAAGGAACGCCTGGCATGGCGCGCAGGCTGATGTCATGGGCTGTAAAAGGCAACTTCGCTTGTGCTTTTTTGGGCCTTTTGTCCGCATCCTCCAACAATGCTTCTCGGCGCAAGCAGTGGCGCAGGCTGCCGGGCGTTGGAGCCGGTGGTGTTGTCAAGTTTCTACGGAGTACATGTGCACCAGGCCGGGGACAAGGCATGGCGGAATTTCGGTTGTGAGCAATATGTCTTGTACCTGCGGACAGTAAGTACGGTGGGCCGGTGCCTGTGTAGGATTGTGCTTAGCTGGGCACGCCGTGGGCGCAGGACGGTCCGCCGGATACGGAGTCTGAGGGTCCAGGGAAGGCCACATGCTTTTGACCCGCCAGAGCGGCAGCAATAGTAGGTGCATCCATATCCAGTAATTAATCGTGGCATTAACAGCGGGGAAAACCTCCTGATGGCGTGGGCCCTGCTCCTGCGTCGTCGCAATCGGCGGGCCCCTGATGGGCCATGGGCGTCATGGGTCGCTGGCCATGCGACTGGTGGTGCCTCAGTGGCAGTCTTTGATTGTGAGTATGCACCACCAGACACACAAGTGCTGCATGTGCTCCGACTCGAAGCCCACCCACAGGACGCGGGCCATGTTGCAGTTGGTGGCAGCGACAATGCACGCAGCCCTTTTTCCAGAAGACGTGAAGATCCCTTGGATGGGCCGTTGGCGTGCAAAGGGCAGCACTGGAAACATGGCCGACGTACCGTGCGGCCCCTGGTTGCAAGACGACATGCACAAGCAAATCATCCATCGGCGCCGCCTCATGCGCATACTACACAGATGGCTGCGGCATCATTGTTGGAACCGGATGCCACCCAAGCATCGCATCTCTACATGACAATAGTACGCTTTGTGGACATGCGGTAGCCGGGAACGGCCATGGTGGTAGGGCTGGCGCGAGGCTGAGCAGGTCAGCGTGGAGCTGATTAAGGCCGTGGCTCTAATTTTAGCTCGGGGTGGTGGCCAGCACGCGCCACACCGCCGGCTGGCACAGCAGGTTTGCCCAACATGACTGCACTCTAGTAGTAGTTGGTGGACGCACCCAGTGCTGGAATCTGCACCGCCATCGTATTAGCTACCGTCAGCAGGCCAGCGCCCCGGCAAAGATTCAAGTAGACCCAGTCTGCCCGCTCTCCCGCACGACAACTTGGCCGTCCGTAAGTATAATTACATTTCCCTGCCAGGCTTGTCCACCTGCACCCCCGAAACCTCAGGTCGACCAATTATCCTGTCCCTCCCTGCGGTCTACGCGTGTTTCAGCGCGGCCGTTTTCCTAGCGCAGGCTTCCCCCCATCTCTCCGCCCAAACAGGCTTAGCCTACTCTTCAGCACCTTTCTCAGCCCTCCAGCGCCCCAGACACTGCATCGGCCTTTATCAAGCGACACCGCCAGTCGTGCGCTCACTGCTCTTTTTTTCTTTCCATTGTTCCTCCCTACATCTCCACCCCATCTCCCCATCCCGCCTCGCCATCTGCAGCCCCTGCCTGCGGACTGCAGCTCGTCATGGCGTACAACAACAATAACCAAGGCTACAACCTTGGGGACCCCAACACTGGTGTACGAGCCCCTGATGCCAGCAACTGCAGAAAAACAGAAGATACAAGCCATGCAACTAACACGCCCTGCAGTACGATCGCACTGAGCATGAAGAAGAGGTTGCCCGCTCCCTCTTGCACGAGAACCCCACCGGTGCCAACTCAGACCCTTTCTACGGCAACCCTGATCACCGCCCACACTCAACCTACAGCTTGACCGAATCCTACGCCAACGATCGGCCAACTCAATACCCTGCACAGGGCCATGAGGGCACCAGCTACTCAGTTAGCGGTGGCTACGACCCAGCCAGTGAGTTTGGTGCCGGTCAGCGTGCGCCCTCACCATACGAGAGGAGCGAGACCAGCTCCACCGAGGCATGGAGGCAGCGACAGCAGCCCGGTGGTCAAGCCGGTGGCCTCAAGCGTGGCATGACCCGTAAGGTCAAGCTCGTCCAGGGCTCCGTTCTCAGTGCCGACTACCCCGTGCCCTCAGCCATCCAGAATGCTATCCAGGCAAAATACCGCAATGACCTCGAAAGCGGCAGCGAGGAGTTCACCCATATGCGATGTAAGTTTTTTTATGTGCCTTTCTGCCCTACAAGCATTCCGCCGATCCGATTCTGACAGCTGCCAGACACGGCTGCCACGTGCGACCCCAATGACTTCACACTCAAGAACGGTTACAATCTGCGCCCGGCCATGTACAACCGCCACACTGAGTTGCTCATTGCCATCACCTACTACAACGAAGACAAGGTTCTCACTGCCCGCACCCTGCACGGTGTCATGCAGAACATCCGCGACATTGTCAACCTCAAGAAGTCCGAGTTCTGGAACAAGGGCGGTCCAGCTTGGCAAAAGATTGTCGTCTGCTTGGTTTTCGACGGTATCGATCCCTGTGACAAGGGTACGCTCGATCTGCTCGCCACCATTGGTGTTTACCAGGACGGTGTCATGAAGAAGGACATTGACGGAAACGAGACGGTTGCTCACATTGTAAGTTGTACCAAATTTGACCGGATTGCGAGGCATCGCTAACAAGGTTTAGTTCGAGTACACCACACAACTTTCCGTCACACCCAACCAGCAGCTCATCCGCCCGCACGATGACAGCGCCAGCACTCTGCCCCCCGTTCAGATGATGTTTTGCCTGAAGCAGAAGAACACCAAGAAGATCAACTCTCACAGATGGCTCTTCACTGCCATTGGCCGCATTCTGAACCCCGAAGTTTGCATTCTGCTCGATGCTGGTACCAAGCCCGGTCCCAAGTCGCTGCTCGCTCTCTGGGAAGGTTTCTACAACGACAAAGATCTCGGAGGTGCTTGCGGTGAGATCCACGCTATGTTGGGCAAGGGCTGGAAAAATCTGCTCAATCCGCTCGTGGCTGCTCAAAATTTCGAGTACAAGATCAGTAACATTCTTGACAAGCCGCTCGAGTCGTCTTTTGGCTACGTCTCTGTGTTGCCTGGTGCTTTCTCGGCTTACCGCTACCGCGCTATCATGGGTCGACCGCTCGAGCAATACTTCCACGGTGACCACACTCTCGCCAAGATTCTCGGAAAGAAGGGTATTGAGGGCATGAACATTTTCAAGAAGAACATGTTCTTGGCCGAAGATCGTATTCTGTGTTTCGAACTCGTCGCAAAGGCCGGATCCAAGTGGCATCTTACCTACATCAAGGCCTCCAAGGGAGAAACTGACGTGCCCGAAGGCGCTGCCGAACTCATTGGTCAGCGTCGTCGTTGGCTCAACGGTTCGTTCGCTGCCGGTATCTACTCCCTTCTGCATTTCGGTCGCATGTACAAGAGTGGTCACAACTTTGTGCGCATGTTCTTCTTCCACATCCAGATGTTGTACAACATCTTCCAGACTATTCTTACCTGGTTCGCTCTGTCTTCCTTCTGGCTTACTACCGTCATTATCATGAGTCTTGTCGGTACCAAGACCGACACCCGAGATGCTTGGCCATTTGGTAACAGTGTCACTCCCATCTTCAACACCATTGTCACCTACCTTTACCTCGCGTTCCTGGTCTTGCAGTTCATTTTGGCCTTTGGTAACCGTCCCAAGGGTTCCAAGTACTCTTACTTGGTATCCTTCTGCGTCTTCGGTCTCATCCAGCTCTACATTGTCATCCTGTCCATCTACCTTGTTGTTCAGGCCTTTACCAACCCGACCTCTCAGAAGCTCGATACCTCGTCACCAGAAGCATTTGCCAAATCCTTCTTCTCGTCAGATGGTGTTGGTATCATTATTATCGCTCTTGCTGCGACTTTCGGTCTCTACTACGTCGCCTCCTTCCTCTACATGGACCCATGGCACATGTTCACCTCATTCCCGCAATATCTGCTCATCATGTCCTCGTACATCAACATTCTCAACGTCTACGCGTTCTCCAACTGGCACGATGTGTCCTGGGGTACCAAGGGTTCTGATAAGGCGGATCTTCTGCCATCAGCCAAGACGGAGAAGGGATCAGACGGAAAGCACAACGTCATTGAGGAGCCTGATCTGCCCCAGGCTGATATTGACAGTGCGTTCGAGGCCACTGTGAAGCGTGCTCTTGCGCCATACGTCCCACCAGAGGAGAAGGACGAGAAGACCCTCGAGGATTCGTACAAGTCTTTCCGTACCCATCTGTGTACCGCTTGGATTGGATCCAACTCGACTCTAGCCGTTGTCATCACCCAAGATAGCTTTGACCGCTTCGGTTTCTCCGTAAGTTTTGATTGTACTCTCTACTCTAGACTTTGCTAACATGACAATAGTCGACCGCCACCACTAGAACCGCACACTTCTTCCAGGCTCTCCTGTGGTCTACTGCAGTACTTGCCTTGGTTCGTTTCATCGGATGTCTGTGGTTCCTTGGTCGCACTGGTCTCTTCTTCTGCGTGCGGAAGAGGTAAAGTGGCGTACGTGCTACTGCGACGCCCACTTTTGTGTTTCCAAAGCCCTGCTTCGATTACCCTAATCAGATATAATTGGCGTTTCTTGGTGTCGTTGGGCTTGAGCAGCAGCTAGGAGCTGTGGTTTTTTTGCTTGTTTCCCAAAAGAAAAATATCACGCGCGCATGCCTGGCGTGGATTCACCGCGTGACTCCTCGTCGGACGTGTCACAGACATGAAATGTTTGGTTCCATTTGGAAAGGGGGAGCGGCAAAGACATCTATGCCCAATACTTTGTGTCATGGGAGGCCTGCTGGCTTGCTTTTATGCACGCTAGAGATGTATTGGCTTTTTATATTCAGATTTTAGATTGGAAATACCACAAATATGTTAAGATGACTGTGTTTCATGCGTGCCCGATGACGAGGCTGTTTGCAAAGAAGAAATAACGTAATGTGAAAGTTGTTTCGTACGTTTTGGTGTCTAACCAAATCTAAGATACCACTCATTACCATTGGCGTTTTCGTGTCCAACAATCGGCGTATCCATCCACAGTTTCTCCATGTCCAGCCTCTGAGCGTAAGTCTCTGTTCTATCCTCCGTCAACGCCAATGCAAATACTGCGCAGCCAAAGAGCACGGGTTCAGCATCAAGCGCCGAACACCTCGCAACAGCATCTACACCAACTGTCGGTATAAGGGTCCGCTGCCACACCAAATTCGTATTAGCATCTGGCTTGAGACTCTGCGCCCACTGCCGCATTATGGTAGGCGTCTGCTGCTCTTCCTGTAACCTCAGCATGCGAACACCACTCGCACCCGCATCCGAGCAAACAACCGTTGAATCCTCATCCACCACTGTGCCTTCTGGGAACGACAGCTGGGCCTGCTGCACAGCAGCACTCTTAAGCTCCGACACACTAGTGAATTCCGGCAGTACCTCTCCTTTCCTACGCCCCCGCCCTTGAATCGCAAACCCAGCCTGCACAGCCCTCAACTGCACATCACTCGCACCGTGATTCTCGATCCTATGCCAGCGTACATACCAATCCGGCCAGCGCACACACGGCGCAACAAGCAGCGTTGACACCACGATCTCCGCATCCACCCACGGTTTCCACTCGCTGCGCAGCGCAGGCACTGTTTGCGCGACTTGGCCGTTGTGCATCAGGTCCACGGTGTCGAAACGGGGAGAGCTGACTTTCCACGGTACGCGCCATGTGTCGCCGCCGTCTTTGCTCAGTGCGAGGGTGCTGTCTGGCGCGAGTTGCTGTAGTAGAGGACCGGTGGGCACGCTGAAGGAGAAGTGAGATGAGTATGCGTATTTTCCGTATTTGGCCTCTGTGGCTTTGAGGGGCCAGGGGCAGAATTGGCCGGTGGAGAGGAGGAAGTGGTGGTTTGGGTTGTTGCAGAGGATGTGCATTGGAGGTTTGACTGGGACGATTGCATGGGGAGCGCTGTGTGGTAGCGGTTTTTCTTCAGATGTCCAGAAGGGGTGGGTTGGTGGGAGGGCTAGTGCGAGGAAGGATTTCATGGCCCAATAAGGGGATTGCGGGCTGTTGTAGTCTTCGCTCAGGTACATGTTTGGGTATGCGAAGCCGATGGTGAGGGTGCCGTCGCTGTTGAAGATGTCGGGTTTGGTGGCCCACCAGCGGAAGTGGCGGAGGAGGAGTCCTTTGATTACGCCCCAGTCGTCTAGAGGTGCGGGCAGAGAGACGTCTGCGAAAGCGATGGCGGACCAGAAACCTGCGAGTGCAAAGCGATATGTGAGACTGCGGCCAAAGGGGATAGCAGCGCCTGAGTTGGGTGAGTCAGTAGCCATGTAGTATCAGACAAGGGAAGCTTTTGATTCCAAGAGTAATATACATACCGTTATTATCAAAGTACCTCCAGAAGCTCATCGCAAACTCCCTCGCTCGACCTCGAAACCGCTCGCACCGCTCCGGATCCAGATCCCCCGCCATCTTCACATACACCAGCTGCGAAAACTGAATCGCAAAGCTCCCAGAGTAGTAATCCGCCTGACGTCCCTCATCTCCCCAAATCCCATCCGCCGCCCACCCCTCCCCCCTATAAAACTCCTCCATGAGATCCAAATCCGCCTGCATGGCCCCCAGCACCTCCTCCCGCGGTACACCACACACGCGCACCAAGGCCAAATTCGTCATAACCCTAAACCACAGCCAATTCGTCGTGGGAAAATCCTTGCCATTGATCGTCTTCAACCAAGCCGTGATGTTCGCCCTTGCCTGCTCCGTCTGCTCCTCAAACAGCATCTGCGGCGCCGCCAGCAGCGCAAAAGAAATAATTTCCATTTCCACCATGCGCTGGTCGCGCAGGACCACGGGGCCCCAGTACTCTGCGTGACTGGGATCGGTTCCGTTGGCTAGGCCTCTGGCGAAGGGCGAGATTGTTTCTCGAGCCTCATCAGAGGGACGAGGCGTCGAGGCGGCGGCGGCGTGTGCCAGAGCGCCAATGGCCCACAGGGGGCGTGCAAAGCCTTCGAGTTGCGCGGCCACATCGTCGAAATGCGTGCCTGTTGCTAAGGCGAGTTTGATGCGCGCGCCGCCTGGTGAGTGGAAGGGGCGTAATGCGTGGATTAAGGTTCGGGCTGCGGCTTGAAATTGATTGCGGGTTTGGAAGGGGTTGTCGGAGAAGTCTGGAAGTGGTGGCATTTTTTTTTTATTTTGCTTTCATCAAATTATTCTTCACTTCCCCCCTCTCTCCTCCTGTTTTTTTCTCTCTTCTCCTTTGGCCTTTTTCTTTTCGCTTGCCGAATTTTTCTCAATGTCTTGTGGCGTGAATTCGTAAGATGCTGACACGTGGTGACTTTTGAGGGTTTGTATTATAGTGTTTGTTGATATTAAAGGGTAGGACTACTTGGTTTATTCACCTAGGTTGGCCGGTAAAACGGTTGCAGTTGCGCGCGCCCTGCATATCAACCAACCCTTTTTCCCCGCATCAGGACCAAAAAAGGTTGCAAGTCCGATGCAAGCAGTTTGGCCTCCCCGAGGCAACAGCATCCTGTCCCCAGATGGATTCCTCCACTCGTTGGTAGAAGTAGAATTTGAGTGCGGAAAACGTGCTTGCTCATTAAAAGTGGACTGATGGGCCGAAATGAGGGCTAGTTCCGCGGGGTTGCGCGTGTGGAGCGACTTTATTGTGATTTATCCCGATGCCCGCTCACTGGAATCCTCTAAGCCCGCTACTTTCTTCCTTTTTGAACAATAAGAAACGCCTGTTTTCGAAGATGTCGCGCTGATGTCGGCTAGCTGGACCAATTACTCGGCTGGCAATGGCAGCCAAGCAGCCGCTCACGAAGACGATGGGCCAGTCTCGGTAGCAGGCGATATCCCTGCCTGCGTCAGCTGCAAGCAGCGCAAGCTGCGTTGCTCGCGCGAACTGCCTTCGTGTACTCATTGTCTGAGGCTCTGTACGTCGTTGTGTTTGATAGTCGTGACATGGTCGTCTCGCTGATCCTCACATGCAGCCTCTGAGTGTGTGTACCAGCCAAAGAACAAGCCTGGCCTTAAGCCAGGCGCCGTCGAGGCCTTGACTCGCCGCGTTGGTATGCCGATCTGATATCTTTCTGGGTTTGCTTGCAACGCGTCTCACAAATCTACAGCTCTTCTGGAAAGAATCCTTTTGGACGAAAAAGGTCAGGTTCGTGCGCGATATGTAGATGAGGATGCACCGACCAAAGGGCAGGCCATTGTTCATGAGACGCCACCCACGAGCACGAGCACGAGCACGACCATAACCACGACAGAAGCCGCGTTTCGTGTCCATGAGCAGCCTCAACCCAGCAAGCCTACTCCTGAACAGCGCTACGTGGAAGCTCCGAGAGAAAGCGCACCAGGAGTTCCCAAGGAAGAGAGCATGGCGCCAAATCCTCTGAAAAGAAGACGCCACACGCCCGTTCCTGAGAGTTGGCTCTTCCCGTTTGCAGATGTCGACATTGCCCAACACCTCCCGTCTCAGCCACTCCTCGAGAAGCTCGTGGATTTCTTCTGCATCTCTTTCCACCATTGGATCCCATATATCCACAAGGCGCGGCTCCAGAAACGGGTGCGCCAGGGCTCACAGGATCCCGGCCATGTCCTTGTTCTCCACGCTCTAGTCGCCGTTGCTTTGCGACATATGGAACCCAGCGTGCTTTTCTTGGATTCTGACCAGATCCACCAACAAATCAACATTTCGCGCATGATTGTGGAAACACATGCGATGCGAAATGTTACCATTGAGAGCCTACAGGCCCTCATCTTCCTCGTATTTGATCTCTTGAATGATGGCCAACCACAAAGGGCTTGGCCACTAATTGGATCGCTGACCAGGACGATTGACTACCTTCAGCTTACTACTGAGCCATCGCTCTTGCATTCCAGATCACTAATGGCACCTGTGCGTCTGGTCAAGCCTTCGAACGACTGGACGGAGCTGGAAGAACGCCGAAGGTTGTTCTGGATCATCTTCCTACTTGATCGATTTTGTTCGGCGTCTACAGGGTGGAACACCAGTCTCACCGCCGAAGATGTCCATCGTCGATTACCAGCAGATGGGGGCTATTTTACCCGTGAGGAGCCTGTCACCACTCCGTATTTCGGTACGTAAGCATATTTGATCGGCGCCCCGGAGGGAGATGTATGTATCAATCTTCCAGTATCGCTGACAACCCGTGACAGGGATCTGGAACAAAGCAGCGGCCCGCATCGGACGCTCATTAGCAAACGTACCAGCTCAGTACAATGAGGATGACCCTGGAACAGATCTGCCTCCAGGTGCCAGTCCAAACTCGACCAACAGCTACATAGACGCATCTAAACTTGGCGCTTTCGCGTACTGCGTTGAAGCAACCGAGAGTTTGAGCCAAGTGACCACATTCTTCCTCCAGCAACGGATCAACTGGCAAGACAAAGAACATGCTGTCAGCTGGCTGACGCGGTTCAAAGAACTTGATCTTCGGCTCGTCCAGTGGAAGATGTTTCTACCACCCAGATGGAAGGACTCCAACATATCTGCTGACCGGGCAGTGGTAGACATGGACCCAAATCTAACTCTAGCACACATTACTCACAACACATCGATGATACTGCTACATCACCCAATTGGATATCCCCCCAAAGAATGGAATGACTTTGTCGCGCTCCCGAAAGAATGCAGTGCGCAAACATGCGAGCTCGCGGCTGTCGAAACTTCGAACATCGTCAACAAGTTCCTTACCCACACCCCCATACCCTTTGTCAACGTACAATTCTCCTTTTGCGCCTTCGTAGCCGCCAAAGCCCTCCTATTTGGCCACCAAGCCACCCGGCGCCCTCTCCAACCCGAGTTCAACCGCCTAGTTCACGACCTCTGGGAAATGGCCACCCGCTGGCAAAAAAGCCGCGACACCAACCAGCGCCCCAACAACCAAGCAGCCATGTACGCCGACCAGCTCGAGCGACTCCAAGAAGCCTGCTACCACAACCCCCAATTCCGCTTCGACTTCTACGACCACAGCGGCATAGCACTATACCCCCAACATTTCGCCAGCCCAACCTACGCACCCACCCCGCAAACCCGCCCGGACAGCTCCGCCACCGACTACCCCATAAAGCATCAAACCCGTAAAACCAGCCTCACCACCCCTCAACTAACCCTCAGCCCAAGCACTAAACCACCACCACCACCTCAAGAACCCACCCATCACACCCTCACATCTCCCACAAGATACATCCCTCATCCACATCAAACCCACCTCTCTCCGCCCGCCCCCCAAACTCCCATCTACAAATCCCCACACATGCCCCAAACACCCTCTTACCCTCCTCCTCAGTCAATCTACCACGCCGCACCCCCATCTGGCAACCCACCCTACAATACTGCGGGGCTAGGAGCACAGGGCACGCAGCAGAGCGTACAAGATCAATCTCTGCTAAACCTATCCGACGCGTTTATGGATTCGCACTTTTTGGACATGGATCGCGTGATTACGTTTGAGGAGGCGAGCTTTCTCTTGCCAGGGGATGGGTTTCGGTGGCAGTGATTGATGATTCAGGAACCGGATTATGAGATCTTGCTGCTGGTGACAAGACAGTCTGGAGGAAAGAGAGAATGCGAAAGTGGCCAAACATGGTTTGAACTTTCACTTCTTCGTATGAAATAGTGACTTTTGCATTTCGCAAATGGGGGTTTGTTTGTTTGTTTTTCGGTACCTCTGTATATAGCTGGGGATGAGATGTGTACAAAGTCAGAGGTCGGCGGGAGCAAGGTGATGAACGCGGAGTGTTAATAAATTGCTTGATACCCCTCCCCTCATTGTCTGAATGAATGAGATTGTTTGACATACGTGGTTTACTGTGAGAGTATGTGGGAAGAACCCCCGAAACGCACTCAGACAAGAATGTGATGTAAACTTCTTGAATCTTTCCCCCACTAAAACCTAAAAAAAATCACTACCCGACACCAAAGCCCGTTTCCGTATTCAAACTCATTTTCCTTTTGAATTTGGAAACTGCAGAAAGCAGTTGTTAAGTCTCGGTGGCGAAGAAAATTTGTTATATTTCCATTCACTTGACTACTGCACTACTTCCTGAGCTTAAGAAAACTGTATCTAGCCATTTTAAATCAACCTGTATCAGCTAATACAGATTCTCGGATTTTTTGTAAGAAGGACAAGGCGTGAAGGAAGATACAAACAAATAACCATAGATACAAGCACCAACTGGCAAGCCTAACAAGCCTTTTGACTTCAAAAGAAAACACTTTCAAATTCATGAAGCTTCAGTTCCATACAGTATCTCTCTTGAACCCCGCTCCTCGTACATCTAGCTGCCCACCATACAGCGTAGGCGAAGGTAAAATGTACTCATATCCACCATAGTAAGACTCGTGACTAGAAACACTATGTATCTACACCCGTTTACTACAAGCGATAGTCCGACTTCCGACACTACACTGAGTTCCTCCCGTGGTATACCACAGCCTGCCTTCTACCACTCAACCGACAATGTAAATGTCCACACATCCCATTCAATCATCAGTGTCGAACTCCATGAGTACATCCAAGTCCTCCTCATAAAATTCCTCTTCATAATCAGATGTTTCAGATTCGGATGGTTCGGATGATTCTGGTTCGGGTTCTGGCCTTTCAAAGAGTTGTACGCGGCAGGTCGGGCACGTAGTTACAAAATTAAGCCAGGTGGTGATGCAGTGGTGACAAAAGACATTGTTGCAGCATGGCATCTGCATGGGTACGTGGCTTTCGGCATCTTCTTCGGTGGCATCGCTTGGGGTATTAGGTGCTGACGTAAACTGCTCCTGACAGATGGGACAGTCTGGGTCCTCATCCGGTACGGGACATGCGGCGAGGCCGTGAGCGAGAAAATCGGCTTTGGTAGGCAGGTCGGACATTGGCATGAGACTTGTGGGCTGAATATGTTATGTGGGGAAGAGTATGCCAGAGTGGGACGGATCGAGCGTTGAGTTTACGTTCAGACGTGCTGCGGAGGGGTGTGGCCTTATTTGTGGATGAGTGAAAGAGCCAAGGCAGTGACCACGCAAAAGCCTTTCAGCTACGAGCCCATGACCTTCTACACGCTCAATGGATGATTGTGTATGATTGACATCAATTCATTAAACCATTGCCGTAGCTCTGAGTATCGTTTGCTAGACGTTTGCACCTCCAGCCGATTACGGTGCCCATTTCGCGATATTGTTCGGAATCAATCTCTTGAACATGTCCAGCTGCTTGGCATGCAGCGCCATTTTCGCACTCAGAATCTCCGGTCGTAACTGCAGTGTGCGATCGATGCGTTGCTGGGAGCCACTAAAGACGACCGTATAGTCTGGTAAATGAGTATTTGGGGGCAACGAAGATGCAGCCGTGATAGTGCAATACTGCGAATACGCCTTAGCACTTGGAAAACTATCGGATTGTGGAAGAGTAGTTTTGCATACCTTTCCAATGATGCTACCCCTCCCTATCACAGCACCGACTTCAATCACAGTGCCTTCGCCTACCTCGGCAGCTTCAACTACTGCGTTCGATTCAACGACTACGTTCCTTCCAAGTACCGTTCCCTCGCTCCTCATGGATTCTCTGACATTCGCATTACTGCGCGCCGACATGTTGGTACGCCGACCTTCACTATCCAGTTCAGATCCCATACCTACGCCGACTTTTGCCCGCTCGAAAATAACACATCCTTCGTCCAATACGACTGGCGCCAATGCGCTGCTGAGCTTGCTATGTGGGTGCAGTACAGTATTCGGGCCAATCGTTATCGGGTGAAGGCCGGTAAGTTGCGCGTGCTGGGCAATGAGAACGGAAGAGTCTAACACAATCGATGACGGCTTCGGAAGGAGAGATGTGCGTTTTGGTGCTCCGGACACACGGCGATCCGACGTGGGACGGCCTGTAGTTAGTTGGGCGGACATTTGTGATGTCGATGTCTGTATGCGGAATCAAGAGAGCTGGAGTTGCAATCAGTGGATCCCCGCGAAAACGCGCTACGGCGTTAGCGTATCGCCGAGTCACATGATAAGTATTTCGGTAGGTGCATGTAGTACTGAATCTCTAGCATCCTAATCATATATCATGTCCCCTAGCTATATGCAATAGCATAAATATACCTCGAATACGCAAGCCTACACTAAGCCTCCTATGGTAAAGGGTTGGGTATCTCATAAACATGCATTACTACATCTCACATCCATTCATCCTGTATACTGCAGACGACCAATGTAGTCATCCTGCAGGCGACATATGCACGATCTATAAAATCAAAAACCATGCCAATCCATGCAAAACAGACAACCAACCGTTCAAACACTACACTACAAACTTCCGTGCTCCACCACCACTCGTCTCATTGCCTTCCCCGTCACTGTCAAGCTCCGCTTTCTCAGGGCTAGCACACTTCTCAGGAGAGTTTCTCCCGAACTCATGGCCTCCCTCTCCTTGTCCTTCGCCGCTGTGCATGCTGTCGTCGTCAGATGAGTCTTCGATGCCTTCAAACATGCGAGCAAAACGTTGATGGCCTTCGCGTTCTTCCTCTTCTTGCGTCTTGGGCAATGAATCGTCGTCTAGGTCGTCCTCTGCGTCACGTGCCGATTCGATTTGGGCCTTGCGTTGGGCGAGCCGGAGAGCGAATTGGCGACGCGCTCGCGAGGGCGGTACTTGCAGAGGCTGTGGGATGCTTGACTAGAAAAGGGTTGGTGTTAGTGTAACAGGTCAAGAGCTAGTATAAATGCTGACCAGCGAGACGGAGATGGAACGCGACCAAAAGAAATTACAGGGGAAGACCGAAATTGAACAACCAAACATGATGGTGAGATGAAGACAGCGGTAGGGAGGGCATGCTAGATCATGGAAATCATCTTTTCACACAAAGGAAATGACGAAGGACCACATCTCACGATGTGTATTACTACATGTATCATACACCCTGTTGGATGGCCGAGGAATGTATGTACACAAGAGATGATGTTTGTTCCATGGATCCAGCATGTGAGCCCTCTACTAGTCCCAACTCATGATACAAACAGGTATAAGAAAAGGAAACGCACCAAGGGCGGAAAACGACCGCGGTGGTAGCGTGTGTATGGTCGGGGCCATGTGATTATCGATAGTCCATATCAGCATCGTCAAATGAGATTTCACCCACTTGTTCGGAGTCGTCGACAGGTCCCTGTCGTTCCCGTTCTCTCTCGGTGTCGACATCGTCCATGTCTTCGTCTTCTTCATCACTCGAGTTAGTAAAGCCACTAAGCAAGGAGCCACCGCTGAAGGTGTACCCACCACCTCCAGTGTCACCAGCATTGGTGAGCTCCATGCTGTCGAGGCCTATAGCACCGTTGCCGGCGAGGCTAGCGTTGGAGAGTCCTCCACTGTCGCCTACAAAGTTATTCGCTGCGTTGACAGCGTTGAGCACCGCTTGTCTTGGGCCAACGCTCATGTCGGGTCGTACTCCTCCGAGGATGGCATTGTCTCGTTCTCGTGTCTCGGCTAGGACGTGTTCGACGTAATGCACCCACTCTTCAGCGTGGACCTTTTCCAGGACCATGGGTGATAGGACTTCATCCGTGTGTCGCTCAGTAAATTTGAGCACTTCTTCTGCGATAAGCGTGAGATGGCCCATGTATCCTAGTCGCATATGTGTCTCCTTGTGCGATTTGTCGCTCTCTTCTTGTCCCTTGATGATTCGTTCAGTTATGGCGCCGCTGTCGAAAAGGTTAATTGCTAATTGCCGGTTGTACCCATGCTCCATCTGGCCGTTGAACACCTGTTGAACAACGTCATATACCACATTGTGTAGAAAGTTGTTCCAAGGGAAACGGAAGAAGAAGTCCTACAGGTGTTAGAAATTGCAGCCAGTGGTCTTGATAAGAGCTTACAAGTATAGTTGGCACAACTCTGTTCTCGACAAACGTAATTTTCAACAAATCACCAACCACGGGCGTTCCGTCGATATCGACCTCGAACCCTACAGTCTCTTCGGTACTTCCAAAAACCACAGAGCGGACGCTTTGAGTTTCATCAATCGGGGTAATTTCAGAAAGATCCGATCCTGGCACAGGTGCAGTGAACCGCGAAGTGTCGACCTTCGCTGGCGAGGAGCTATTATCGCGGTTCTTACCCGCAAAAAGCGGTGCTGGTTTATCGTCAGGGTGAGGTGACAGAGGAGGATCTGGTAGATCGAGGTTACCAGATTCTGAGGTCTGATTGAGTTGCTGTGTTAGCAGAGATGGCGAGGACTTGGTCTCGGTCTCAGGTTTCTCGATCCTTGCAGATTCCGAGGGCTCCCGACGATCGTTCATAACAGTATCGTTACCCAGACCGAGATCGTCAACCTTGGCCGTTAGACCTGCTGATGTGGGGGATTCTGCATCGTCTATAGGTTTGGCGGGAGAAGGAGCCGCTTCAGCAGACGCAGTAGAGTCTTTGGGTGGTGTGAGAGGCTCATCAACAAATTCACCGTCGTCACCCACAACCTTGCTGGTGGATGTTTCCTTGGGTGCATCCCTAGGAACCACTTTAGGTGAAGGTTCCAATGGCGCGCCAATCTGTTCCTTTTCATTTGCACTCTCTTTTGGATCTTCAACAGCGACCTCTGGCGCAACAACCTTTTCAAAGTCATCCTCAGAACTGTTCTGCACGTGCAGAGGCTTAATCTCAGCAGGCGAGTCCATAGATGGGGCGCGCGCATGATGGAACCCTTGACTATCGACACTGGTGGAGAAGTCGCCTGGGTTCCCGTGGTTAGCTGACGTTAGTTTACCGTCGGCTTTCAAACGTTCTCGCTCGGCATCTCGTCTTCGGACTTCGGACTCACTACCGCGCTCATTGAGCAGCGCCATGTTGCTACAGTGCAGCAGTTCAGCCATTAGCTCGCAAGTCTTGAAGCGGTCGAATCCGAGAGGCTCTATCTTGTCACCAAAGGCCGTCTTGAGTTCTCGCTTCTTCCTTGTGATGGTGCCATCTGACTCTGTCACTACCTGGCTGGAGCTGTTGACCAGTTCCATGAACTGCGGAATATGATTTGCAAACTGTCGAAGTAGCGTTCCCAAGTAGATGGGATCTGAGTTCTTGGGTACTGGACCGATTTGGTTCTCCAAATCGTAGTCGGAATTGTTTTTTCGGATGACCTCGATGATGATGCCTACGCCGACAGTAAGTGGGTTACCGCCGTGGAGCATGTACTCTATCAATTGCTTGAGACATGACTCGGAAACAAGTTGCCGGGTAAGCTCATTTGGCCCAATCACCGACTGGTCCTGTGTTGTAGCATTTGCAGATATAGTAATGATAGCCTTGAGAAAATCGCCGGCCGATGTTTGAGTGGAGGTTGATTGGTCTGGTTGGAGGAAGGCAATCAATCGTGGGACGAGGTCCTGCTGTTGTAACCACTGCGCTTTTGTCAGTCCTGCCTATCGATCTGAATGGCTGCACCCACATCAACAATGCCTTGGCCGCCTTCACTCTTCTCAAGGCTGATAATCTTCAATAGCAGGTCCATGATGACTGGGCAGTCAACGTGTTGGAGCATGTCTGGCACAACGTTGTCCAGAGACTTGAAGAAATCGAGCATCTCCTCCATCTTGCGGTCGAGCAGCGACTCGTTGACTTTTGTGAAGTAGCCGGCCTGGACAGGGTCAAGTGGGGCAGGCTGCTTGATGTAGGCCCAGAACTGGCGCAGGCTGTCCTGGTTCTCGAGCACGGCTTCCGATATGGACCATACTTCAGAGGATAGGATTTCGCACGATACGTAAGCGTACTTCATCCGCTGGCGCTCCTCCTTGCTCTCCTCGGTGTCGCCTGCGTCCGACTTTGTGGTCGATGTTGAGCGGGCCCTGACTCTGCCAAAGAAGCCAGCGCGGCTGGGACTTCTCGCCTCGTGCGCCAGCGAGCTTCCTTGGTCGTCGTCGTGGGGCAGGTTGGGCCTGGCGGCGATGACATAGCGCAGCAGGCGCTCCAAGACATTTTCGTCGCGAAGGTATTCTATAAGCTTCGAGTTCTGCTGCTTGAGCTCCTGTATCAGGTCCGACTCGTCCAGCAGCTCTTCGACGGTGACATCAGGCTTATCGAGAATGCTGTCCAGCGACGACAGCTGTGCGTAGCCGCCAAAGCGCCAGAACATGGTCGTATGCGGTGCCTGCGGCTACAAGGGCGGGGCAGGGAAGGGGCCGGGCGAGGGACTCGAGAGCAGCAACTGTAGGCCGGTGGGGCTGGACATGCGTACGTACGACTACTGCAGCGACCAATGCGTCATGGGAAGCAGAAATACCGATGCAACGAAAAGGGCCTGCACAGAAGACGGGCGTCTTGGTTAGCAACAAGTGCTCGGGGGGTGTAAGACAGTGGAGGGCGCGTGTGGTCAGGGCTGAGGCTCGGGCAGCGGGCAGCGGGCGGGCTGAGTGCAGTAGGTGGGACAGGTACCTACAAGCGAACAAGACAGCGGGGGAGGGCAACGGCAAGCGAGACGGGCGCGAGGCTTGCAATCAATGCATCTACTCGGAGACGCTGCGTCGTGGCCGGCTCGTTACAGATACATACAAGCGGGGAAAGCCGGCGACCGAAATGCAATCTGGCGTGGGTGCACTGAGGCGAAGGCGAAGTACGGGGGTGAATGGATTTGTTGGGTTTTTTTGGTGGTGACAGAGGGCTAGGAGAAGCTGCGTACTGGTAGGTAGTAGCGTGCTTGCAGATCCCAGCTTGACTTGCAACCTCGTTGATAACAGACCGACCGACAGACAGACAGCAGCCACAGCATGCATGCATCCAGCTACTAACCCAAGTACATAGAGCACGTATGCACGCCGGCATGTGGATTACTTGCAGGCCACACGAGGCCCTGGTCATGACGCAACTACAGATTTGTCCATTACCATCCATCACGCTACTAGCCTCCCTGTTCAAAGCCTTTGCTCTACTAGTACAACATGCAGCCCACAAGAGAAACGACCACTTTGCCTGCATGCGGCGTGAACATGCCCTTCTCTACCATCTTGAGAAGCCGCCTAGTACGACGCGCCGGTCCTTGGGCTGGGCAGCAAGACAGTTAGGCATCAAAATCTGTGCCATCACCTGCCAACCCGAACCCCGTCGCCATGGCCATGACCGGCACTCGCGATGCCGCTCTCGGTAGCAGTCCACGTGACCTGCGATGACGTTTGCGGGAACGGCCGGCGCTTAGAGACGACCTTGGACACGACTCCCAAGACCGCCTCATGCCCATCTCGCCGTGACCTAATCCATTCACTGATTCATGGAAATAACCAAGCGTCTGTATGCAGAACCTCTACTTGCATACAATACACGTACATTTCGATTGCGTCTGGCGAAGCAGTCATGTGCGAACGGTCTGGTCACGTGATGCTACAACACTCTTATATCCATATCATCATCCACGCGCACGAGTACCAAGATACTGACATTTCATGTTCATCAAAACTCTGAATCTTCATTCTTGTGAGCCTTGACTATCACTGGAAAGATAGGGACTTTACTGCTGAGCATTCACAAGATCCATACCTATGCTCAAGCATCGCCCCAAGCCAGCCAAGAAAGAGGGAGAATAACAGATCTGCAGTTCACCACAAAGCCCTCCCACTCACCCCTACCTAACTCGCCCGCCCAAATCCAGTTTTTACTTTCCCCAAGCTAAACTACCATGTTCCTCTCCAAGACCTTGGCCACCATTCTCCTCGCCATCAGCGCCGCAAGTGCTGCCGCCATCCCCAACCTCGAATCCCGGGCCACTTGCAAGTGGTGCAGTGCATCAGAAAGCACAGATCCTTCCAACATGAGTTCAATAAGACCGCGTCGCTGATATTCACCAAGATTCAATATACCCTAACCGTTCTGTGCAGTGTATAGTGGGCTATTGCAATTTTGACCCAAGAATCGGATATTATTGCCCCGCCAGTCAAAGCTACTAGAGTACCGGTCAGCGGGTCTCTATAGAATTGAGTAAAATGAGGGGAGGATCGTCTAACAATAGCTTACGAATCGGGGCTTATAACCCTGGATTCAGAAGGACGAGTACCACATAATGTCTTAGAACTCTCTAATGTGAATGTTTACATTATTGGTTTAAGCTTAAGCCTTTAGATTAACAGAATCCATTATCTAAGCCCTGACGTGAGGTTACTAACAAACAGCGAATACCAGATTCGCCAAAGCAAAGAGGGAGAGCATCTACAATGCTAAACCTTTAATTTATTCAGCATCGCTATCAGTAAACAGGTATAGAAAGTTTCGACCCACAAGTCTCACTTCAAAGAGACGAGCTACAGTGGAAGAGTAATGAAACATGCTACTAATTACCCTAGTTAGATAAGCATTGGTAGATGTATACGAGTTTTTCTCTCCCAACATGGACGCCCGACTCGCCAGCTTATTAAGCACTATACTAGCGGAGCATCTAATATCTACGTCTTGTCCACTATCGAAAAGTCAGAGCTTCCATCTGTACATTTCCCTGTGCGTGCTCTTGTAATATTTCGCCTTTCATAACTCCATGTACGTACGATTCTCCTACAAAAAGCCAATCATCAGCTTCTGGCCGGATAATGTAGGGTACACCGCCACCAGGAATGATGGCGACAGTGTCGTTCACTTTGGAGTCGGAAGGACCAATACCCATGCGACCAGCCGATGTAATGAAGAAGCATCGACCGTAGCAGAAGTTGCGAGCTAGAGCAGCGTATTGTTCGGGTTCGCCGTTTTCCGAGGATGCCTTCAGCCATTGCAAGAAATGACCGTCTTCGCTATCGTAGAGTGCAAATGTTGCCATCAGCTTCTCGTTCGCTAGAACTAGCTGATAGAGATATGCAAGACCGTCTTCGAAGAACTGCATCCAAGATCGACCGCCGAGACGCTGTTGTTCTGCAGCTGTTGTTTGTATAAACTGCATCGACCACGTTTCTATCTTCTTCTCTATTAGCAGTGCAGTCGCTACCGCACATACTCGTGCTATGATTGAAGCAAAGTTTCTATCGAAATCGGATCTAAGGATCTTTTCGTCACTCATCGAGGTAATTTGGGATATCTTGTCGACCCTCATACCATCGAGGCAAAGGACGTCACTGTCTTCAGTAACGTGTACTTTAAGTGACAGGTTTCCAGCTGCGACATAGTGTTCAGGAAATCCGAGACACACGGGTTTTTTGTTGTCAGAGTAGTGTAACCAAGAAAAGCTTTTCCGAATGTTACTATCGTCGACTGCGAAGTCACTCCAATTTGGTAGCCAAGATGGGAAGTCTTCAAAATGATCCTTGCGTCGCCTTTTAGATAAGCTTCCATTTGTGCCGTGACTTCGCGTGAATATAGAGAGCGAGCCATCATGCTCCAGAAAGTACCGTGTGACTTTTTGATACGCCTGCTTTATATCGAGGGAGTAATCTGGCAAAATTTCTCTAGGAGTCTCAGCAGCTAGGCCAAGTAACGCGTAGATCTTATCTCTCTGGTCTGTGGCGTGGAATTTGTTTTGAGTAATTGACATCAGAGCAACCAAAGGCCACTTCGCACGTGCTCTTCGTAAGTAGCCAATGTTATCGATATGCAGTAATGCGCTGGGAGTCTGATGAAGGCGTAGATAACCGTTTCGTCGCATCCAGGACGCGGCCCATTCTACACGATGCCAGGGGTAGAGCTTGTCTCCATGAACAATAATAGGATCTTGCGGGGACAGGACCGTCTCTTGGACAACCCAAATCCTCGTAAACCAACGGAGCTGGAAGAGTTGAAATAGTGCCCGCCAACTAGGGGAGGTCCAATCGGGAAGCCCTGATGCTTGATGGAACGAATCCGAATACGTCCGCAATGGAATCTCCTCAGGAGAAGACAGATCTGGATAATGTGCTCGGAAGACTTGGTAGATTCTATCAACAAGATCCCATCCTAGCATCGACGAGTCGATTGAAGGCCCCAGCCAAATTAGCGTTCTAACGGCGCCGGAATAAATCTCCCTCATCAGGCTCACTTGAGATGATCGTTCGGTAGTACAATTTTGATTGACGCAAATGCTGTCAATCCAGATTAGGTTTAAAGGAGGATCTAGTGATGTGGCGTGGCTCGCGAGAGCTCGAAGCCGACCAATGCCATCGGCGAGCTGGGAGCTTACATTATGTTTGTAACCACCGATCTGAATTGAGGTATCATGCGCGAACTCGCTCCAGGAATGACTAAGAGCGTAGAATGGAGACGCCGCTCTCAACTCAGTCTCTTCGAAGACCCCTATGTCGGTATCCAGTCCATTGGTGTTCAGTCGAAGGAGTCTGATGTGTCGTGGCAACAATGTCGAATACACTGTGTTTTGTTCAATGCTCATCATAGTATCCTGTCTCTACAGGCTTCAAGGATAACTTTAGGTCCTTTGGTAGTAATAAGTTGTAAGAATGAAGGTAAAGTTTCGAAAGCGTTATGCCAGCATACCGGTATAAAGCTATGTCAGCTAGGTTTTCCGGGGGAAATATAAATCATTGACATGTGTTCTTATATATCCTCCAAGGCATATAAAAGTTTTGCAACAATAAGCAACACGAATGGCGTGCTTGTTCAGTTACTCTGGTTTTGTTAACAGATTCATAAGCCGCATACTATAAATTTAGTGCCCATACTTGCTTGTCTATTTTGTCATACGAGGCGCATTCTAAGATGAGATAGGCCACGTAGTCACCGCATAATTGGCCCGTAGTTGGGCAAGCTCAGCCTTCTCACAAAACGCCACGTATTGACATCTTAGGCTGCAGTGTTGGTCCCTCTATGATTGGTCTGCATGAGCTGCTCCCGAATTCCCGGTGTCTTGACCATTGACCGGTGAACAGCTTGCCTTACGCCATGAGCAGTGCCTTAGAGAATACAACTGCTTACTAGTTGAGATGGAAATAATCATGCAAGTGATACTTTATCAACTATGATCAATATGTGTTATCGTGCCTTAGATCCTCCCCACTATGTTCATATACTGCGACAGAACTTCCGTAGCAACTACATCTTCCTTAACATACGTGTTTTCAGCTTTAAACGCTGAAAGTATATATGTCATCGCTACGCTGGATATGCAGGATTGCATGTTGTGTGCATGAGCTAGTGGTAGATTGCGCCCAGTAGACGTGAGCCAATGAACATCTAGCTTCATAAACAAGCTGCAATATTGACCAAAAGCTTGGTGTTATTTATGAAGTCAATATAGCTTTGTGCACCTTACTTCTTAAGCTACTGCCTGTCCAGCCTAAACTACGAAGTTCTTAACGTATCCATTTCGTATCAAGATATCGACGACACATGTCCATTCCACAAAGCTTCATTTGCGGCACCATATCTTGTCTAAACTTACATTCGTCTACTTCTACTGGAATGGTGCAGTTTAAAGAAGGAGATATGGGCTGGATAAACAATCTGGTGTGGACAGAGCTCCTTACGCATGCACTAGCTGTATGCGCCCTTCTCCTTTCAGTAAAGTGGATCTGGGGAAGGCGCCAACAGCGACAAGTGCCACCCAAACCTACTGCGCGACACGAAAATGGCCTGAAAATCCTGTATTACCCAAAAGAGAATGAGCCTACAGTTGAGTAGGCAGCGAATCACTTTCGAGCTACAAGTATATTGCTAACAGCTGAAGTATTGTTGCGGTACACGGAAGAGGTGCACATGCAGATCATACCTGGTCCACGCTTCGTAACGAGAGTGACAATAAGAAACCCTCAGACTACATCAACTGGCTAAGCGACCCAACAATGCTGCCTGCTGTCCTTCCAAATGCGAGTATAATGCGATACGGGTATAGTTCTGCATTTTTTGGTCATGATCGGTACTCTGCTTCTGCTGAAAATGTTGCTAAAGCACTACTTGAAGAGCTACAGGTTTTCAGGCAAGTAAGTTCTATGATTTCTCCATCTATTAGAAACATGTTAATGTTGAAAGACATCTCCTCAACGTCCTCTAGTTTTTGTGGCTCATAGTTTTGGCGGCCTGGTAGTTCTTCGGGTAAGTTATATAAGCATCCGTATCAAACGGTACTAATGGAACAGTAGACCTTAACAAAGGCATATCAGATCTGCCCTGATATTCCGTACTTTACAATTGGCATGATATTTTTTGGAACACCCTTTCGAGGCACCAGCGAAGAAACAATAGAGATGATCCTGGACCTATTATGTGAGAGCCATGGAGAAGATCGAGTGTTATCCTCAGAGCTTAGAGCGTCTGTGGAAGGCCATGAACCACTGAATAGACTTGTGAATGATTATCTTGAGCAGGCCAGGAAACTACCTATGCCAAGGATCTATTGCATCTACGAACAACAACATACCAACATTGATAAATTCGATAAAAATGGGGTATTTTGATCTTTGAATTTCAAAAAATGGTGCTAACTGCCATAGAAACGCCATCTTACGATGTGGGTTCCTGAGAGCTTAGCTACACTTGAAATCAGCGCTACCACTGACACATGGCCTCGATGGAAAGATCATCTCCAATTGAACAAGTACAATAAGATAGATGAAGACTTCAGGAAATTAACTACCTTTTTCAAAGAAATAGTCAAAGACGGGTCGAGGATTATCAAAAAGAGAAGTAAGTAGATGAAGCCACATGTCTTTCGGGAGCCGTGCTGACCGTTCTTCATACTTGGCAAAGTCTCGTAAGCAAGGATACTTCTACCCTTACCACTTCTACGGTCGCACAGAACAAATAGAAATTATGAGAGAGTTTTTCGAAGGAAACGAATCAAAACTTGCCGTCGTCACTATTTCTGGACCGCGCGGAATCGGAAAAAGTTCGCTTGCAAAGAAGTTTGCAAGTGAATGTTCTCTTGGAGATGATTTGGTCATCTATCTGGACGCCCAAACCCAAGAAACTTTCGACAAATCATCTAGCGACTTTCTAGCCCAAAGTGGATGGAATGGTCAAACTGTACTGGATTTTCTTGTGATGGAATCGCCATGGATATTAGTCCTGGACAACGTCTACTCCAATCCAGGTACACCAGATGCAGCATACGTGAAGGAACTTTTAGATAAACTCGGAACATTAGCAGTCGGCAAAGTTGTCATGACTACATGGCGGGCGGCAGCGACTATGGAGGTTCTCCGCGATTGGCAGAATCACCAACCAATTCACCTCCAAGGATTAGACAGGCCATCTTCTGATGCTTTATTCCAGTCAAGTTATAGAGGAGACCAAAAACCTGAAATGTCGCTATCGGAAGTGCAAGATCTTCTAGAGATTCTGGGTGGGCATCCTCTGTCTATCAGCCTCGTCGCGAGCTACATATCCAAGCTTTCAATACAGCCATCGGCCTATGTGCGCCATTTCAAAGACAAACTGCGGAGTTCTAAAGGATACTCTGGCGAAGTCGCTGCATCCATGACTGACTATGAAAAGACTTTGGAGGCGTCACTTTACCACATATGGAACGATTCCGTGGAGGCTATTCGAACGAAATCTCAAGACGCTATTTCCATACTAGAAATTTGGTCCCTTCTTCATGCTAAAGATTTCTCCTTTGAGTTCATCCAGTACTATAACGAGATCGAAGGTTCGCAAATTGCCATTCGAAGAATTGTCGGGGATGGTCCGATTGGAATACCAACTATCGAGTTCAGCAATGCAATGGCGGTACTCCGGGACTTCTCTATCATCTCTCTGGATACCTCTACTTCAACAACATCGTATGGTATACCAGGAGTCTTCCACAACTGGTGTCGAGAGTTCCTCATGCCAGATCCACATAAGGACATGCTCTTATCTGTGATCCAGTGTCTAGGGATGCTAGTTCCTCATCGCAAACGCCAGGATTACAAAAGCCAAACGATCAAGCTACTCCCACATGCTGCAGCTGTCAGAAACCGATTTGTGATTCTGAGAAACCTCCGGGATGATACGATCAATGGCAAAAAAGTCAAGACTTCGCCTCGCCGAGCACAAGGAGCGGCGTCGCCCACCGTGAACGAATTTTATATCAATCAATTTTACGCATTTGCTAACTTTGCGCAAATATTCAGAGCCCACGGCAGGTTCCAGCGGGCCAAGACAGTGCTTCAATGGGCAAATCTCATTCTTAAGGACGTTCCAAAATGCCACAAGGAGTGGGCGAAAGCGGCCTGCTCCTACAACGAAGAAATGGGAAATTTGAGCAAAAATCTTGAGAATCACAAAGAAGCTCTAGAATTTTTCAACAAGGCTCTTGAATCCTGTATTGAAGAAAATGGAGAAGACGACGATTCTGTCCTTGATATTCGAAGCAACCTGGGATCTGCTTATACGAAGCTCGGCCAATTCTGCGCAGCGGAAAACGAGTTTCAGATGGTTCTTGCTTGTGCTGTGACCTCTGAACATGCAGAAAAGCGCAACATTGATTGCAAGCAACGATACGCGGCCTTACTCAATCAGTGGGGCGTGGAACGTGGACGAGAGGCATTCAAGAAGGCATTGAAGTACAACAAGGAGGTCTTTGATGCGTCTAAAAGACTGTATGAGCACGACAAGAATGATTATCGCATCCCTCAAGCGGCATGCAATCTGGCCAGCACCCATGTGCGCCTAAGCAATACGGCCAGCAATTCTGTGCGAATAAGACATTTACAAGATGCAGAACGTCTTTACAATGAATATGTGCCCATCCTGGAGGAGCGCATGCCTGGATCTAACTTACTGCATACTGTGCAGGTAGGCTATGCTGCTGCTCTGTACCGATTACTCAAATTCAACGATGCGGAAACGCTGCTCTCAAAGGCTGGCGAAGGGTTTGAACGATGTAATGAGGCCGGCAAAGAATCAACAGACTACGGCAGGGTACTCATCACCCAGGGGGACATGCGAGTACACCAAAGGCGTCTGAGTGATGCAGAGAGACTATACAACCTTGCTAAGAAAATATCCGGCATCGATAAGGGTACTATACAGTCTCGGCTTGATCGAGTCAACCGACTCCGCAATAGGGAAGCTTCATAACAAGGTGCGGATGGACAAAGTTTCAATTGAGGGAGTCGAATGAACAACATCTTAATTTAGAGGATCGAATGGCGATACTCTAAGTTTATCTACATATCAGGTTCAGATTCCGCCCCGGAATCATTTCCAGCAGTTGCTTCGAGTTGAGACAAGCGCCTCCTCGCCTTACGAGTAGCCGTGGACGTTAGTTCCTTATTCTGAGGAGGTGGAGACCAAGACCTGGAACGTGATGTGCTATTTGGATCGAAATCAGACTGTATCGTAGTTTGTTAGTATTGTTGTCTGCACTCGCGTTAACCGCAACTATAGCATGAATGACTTACATCTTGTTCGTCGTTGTCTGAGAGCTGTTCATTGTCTGAGTAATAGGGGCCCGACATCTGTTCGTTGTCCGAGTATTCGCGGTCCGACGTCTGTTCAATGTCCGAGCCATTTGGCTCTGGGCTGTGGGAGCGTTGGGATATGGGCGATGGGCTGCGGCTCGTAGACGCAGCAGCAGGTGAGGAGTCTCTGGAAGACATCTTGTATTAAGAATCTGAAGTAGATTCAGGTGAAGGACAGATGATAGCAAGATGAGTATATGGTACTTTTATAGAGCCCAACAGTATAAGAACAACACGGCCATGTTCGCATCGCCCGATGCAGCCAGCGGAAAACGCCTTGTTCCAACGTATTGGATCACTCGATCAAGCCTACATTGCTCATCTACGCAATAAGCCGGGCTGTAAAAGGGCAACAGATCTGAAAAGCGACACGATAACGTGGCGTTCATCCACAGTGGTAGTATATCGTATTGGAATTTCGTTGGTGCACAACTGACCGGCACAAGTGGGTACCTCGAAGCACATGCACTGAGTCATTTTCCAAGCATAGAGTGTGACGGTCGAAAGGCTGAGTATGAATGTCGTCATAGAACATAGACACTTCTCTATCTCGCTCGCCTGGCCCTGTCAATTGCCACGTCAATAGTTGGCATCTGCAAGTTCTACGAACACCATCGCTTATCCTGGTCTTCCGGGCGTTTTTCGTCTGGATATAGGCTACAGCTTCTCATACGAACGCCGACTTCACATACGTAGCATGTTGGCCCCCAAAAAGTCTAGATGTGGCTTGTATCGTACGATAGGAACATGCACTCCGCGGCTGCACTCGGCCAGCGCAGTCCTTTCTTCATTGTCTCAGCAAGAAGGCACGATAGTCGTGTTGACAGTTAGTTCTGGTTCTACACCCTTTGCCAGGATATCATGAATAGCTAACTTCAGCGACGCGACTAGCTCCTCATCAGGCTGTGGCCTTAAAAGACCAGTGACACAAAACATGGTGCCATTCTTTGTACCCACGATGCTGTGTGAAAGGCTACCAACATGAAGATGGTTACGCGCAGTGACTGTTGGCGTTGCAAATGCAGAGCAGATGATAATTGCTCCGTGGAGCTGGAGGCGGCGTAGGCGGCTATGCTGGTTGGCTGGCAAGGCTGAGCGTCGATTTAACTAAATTGTACTCCCTGGGTGTAGGGCAAATCAGACCAGTCAGTGCAACTAAGCATAGCTCAAAGCAAAGACACGTCGCTAAATTTGATTGCAGGGGCGATCTTTCAGCCTGACGCATGTTATAATGCTGCCATGACTTACCCCGTTTAGGTGTAAGCCTTAGCTAGGATTCTATACTTAGCTTACCTCCTGTAGTCTTGGGATAGATACACTTGTACTATACTGTTTTGATATACACCGTCCGTTTTTGGTGGCCTTCCCGGCCGTGACAACGCATGCCAGCTTTCAGGGACGCTGTATCGCCCCCTCTCAGCCTTCAAGATCCTCACCCAGCTAGACCGTGGCGTTTAACCACTTTTAACCTGCAGCAAACAACTGACAAAGAATCTAAGCAACACTTTCACTCCGTCTACTTGCACGAACTCAGTTGACATGGATGCTCTTCCCAAGCTTTCTTCCCAGTATCTCGATTTCAAGAACCATGAAGAGGGCTTGACAGAAGATGATTTACAATTCAAGGCTCTTACCCTATATGGTGCTTCCATTGTCAGTTCACTATGTTATGAGGACGAATTTTCCCAAGCTTGGCAAGGCCAGAAGTTCCAGAGAGCGAGAGAGGCCAACATCATATCGGAAATCTTGCCTGTGGGACGTCAGACTCCCGGCCCGGCTCAAACCACGCCTCTGCTCGCGTGGTCAGTCCGCCTCCAAACAGTTTTCATTGGCTTCAGAGGTACACAAACCGCTCAAGATGTCATGACCAGCATGAACGTCGCGAAGGTTACCAGTCCGGATCTAGCCACAAGCTTCCATTCGGGTTTCTTCCAGCAAGCCTATCCGTTCTCTGTGCTCGTCAAGGAGCTTGCCGACAAGTTCAGGGTCGTTGTTTGCGGTCACAGCCTCGGGTAAGAAACCACTTGCATCATCTATCAAGTACGCCTGCTGAAAGTGATCTTGTCGATAGTGGGGCACTGGCCACCATTGCAGCGTATCATGCCATGGTTCGTTATCATGTTGACGCAGTTCAGAATACGTGGGAGCGTAACTCGATACACACGAGGATTTCTGTAGTAACATTTGGGGCTCCAGCCATGATGTTTCTCCAGACTCCAGGAACCACTGCAGAAATGCGGAAGGATCTGAAAAAGAACGTTCATCACATTATCAACCCCGACGATATCGTCCCCTTTGCTGCCAACTGGCTGTTGCATAAGAAGAACCGAGCTGTCAGTAAGACTGAGCAGATAATCATGGAATGGCTGAACACAACCAATCCAAGTCTTGGAGTAGCTGCATTCGCGGCTTTCAAAGTACTCGGGATGTGGAAAGACAATGAGAATAATCTCGCCCATTACGGGTCACTATACAGGCTCTATCCCTACGAAGGCAACTCTGGTCGTACAAGACAATGCACTCTTGTCACTGCAGAGGGACTCATACCATCATCGCCTGTGCTAAAATCTGAGCATGGACTGGAGTTTCACTGCATGGACCATTACCACGATTGTATGGTCAATACAATCGATTGGGTTCGAGATTCACACAACGCCATCTTTCCTGAGACAAAAACTTTAGAAGACTTCCGAAAGACCTGCATGGAGCCGTTTGAGATCACGGATTGTGAGGGAATAGTTCATGAGGACAAAGTGACAATCACGGCTAAGGTCAAGCCCTTCCTCGCTCGGTTCTTCATCAAATCTGTCAGCCACCGAATGGACAAGAATGGCCTACGAGTCTTTGTTAACCACTTTGAATTTACGAATACAGCAAGTGAGAATCAGGTCAGTTGACGCACGATACTGAGACATGAGATTTTGCTATTTTACGCAAAGAAAATAGAACCAGCTAACATTTCTGGCAGACGCAAATCCATATCAGGCAATACATACATCCAAACGAGTCCATCAAAACCTTCACTGAAATGGCAGATGCCATGCAGAGCTTGCGAATCCGGACTTCCTTCAACAAAACGGTACAAATTCATGTGAAAGAGATGAAGCATGTATCCATGCAAGACGTCAGTTTAACAACAACATTCGAAAGTATCCGGCACGCCATGATAGTCGCGCTGGCTGATCAGATGGAGAAGGTATACGGACTTAAATCAGAGACTCAGACGAAGGGCACGGAGGAAGGCTCTTCAGTCGACGTGGAGCGTTTGGAGGAATCTAGAAGACTAACACGAAAGGCCGATGATATTGCCAAGTCGATTGATATGCTGGTTGCCCATTCAAGCCCACACCTCGTAAAAGCTAAACTTCAAGATGCTACCCAAATTGTTAACCAGTGTTGGAGGACGGAAGTACAACATGCACGAAGCATGGATGAGAAGACAAGAACTGGAGCCTACATATCTGAAACCTCGGCACTGAAAATGGCCGAAAACAGCGATCTTATCCCAGATGACTGTTCCGAGGAGCTGCGAGGGTTGATTACCAGAATGCATGAAGACTTCAAGGCCGCCAACATACGAAGCCCTTACACCGAAGAAACATGGACGAATCAGGGGCAGCCAAAGATGTCTACGCAGTGCAGGGACATACCCTCTCTTACCGACACGCTCCGAGACTTTGGGTCTCGACTTTATACACGTACGCACATCACCGACCCCGATAAGCGTATCGAACGTGCAATTAAAGAAGTTGGGGAAGTTTTGGCCGTTATGCGATTTTGCCACATCATCATCATCACCCAACTGGATGCGCCGGATGGGTGGTGTTTCAAGGTGTTCAAGGAACACGTTATGAAGGGAGTGGGAATGGTGGCCAGCCTTGCCACCGGAGCTTATACGCTTTACACAACCGCAGGTTCCGTTTGGTCTATGTATGCCATGCCTAGTATCGCTCTGGCGACAGGGTGGGCGGCCTTTGCAGGCGCTGTGGGGGTTGCCGCAGGCTTCATATCCTGTAGCATGTCAGCTGTTGCAGTCGAACAATTGCCTCACGGCCCACGTCATGAGCAAGAAATGAGTTTCAATCCTCTCCTCAGTATGACCATCGCGGCCTTGGGGGGTAACCCACATTCTTCTGGCAATCCCGAGGCTTCCCTGACAGCGCTACTGGAGCAACAGTCCTCGAAGCTAGAAGACTTCGAGTACTGGAAAAAACGGCTTGAGGAAGGAACACGGAATGATCGTAGTGGTCTGAAATACGTACCTACGTTGTTCTGGGCTAAATGGATGCACGATGTAGCCAGAGTTGGGCAATTGAGAACTCTTGTCTCTAAACGATTGTATATTGGCATTGAGGGACCCACGGGGGTGGGCAAAAGCTCCCTCTTGACCACTCTTATAGGTGAAAATGTGTTTGGGGCAGGCTCCGGAATCAGCAACCGTACAATGGATCTTCAGTCATACTCGCCGCCCAGTCTCAAGGCGGTGTTCAACGATGTTCCTGGCTGCGACGATGAAGCACCACATATCAGGGAGATGGCTCGGTTATTTCGAGAAATGATGGGCATCATCATCTTTGTGATCCCTTCCGAAAATGTCCGATCGGAATCGACGAACACTCTCTTAAAAGGGATTGCGCAATTCATCCGCCAGCGCGAAAGGCCACGCCCATTTCGTGTCCTCCTTAATCGAGTAGACGGAAACATCGACGAAGAATATCCAAATGAGGTCAAAAAACAGATGATTGAGCTGAAGAAGGTGGTTGTGGCCAAAATCAAGGAATTCGGACCGTTCCCTGAAAACTACGTGATTCAAACGCGCCAGGCTATCCCCGGAGGCATAAAACTCGGGTTTGAGACAATCGAAGATGTCGTGTATCCGTTTTCCACTTATGCACAGATGAGTCGGCAATACAAAAAGACTTTATCTGACTGCGACAGCAACGTAAGGCGATACATCAAAGACCAGGACAAATTCGCGTTGCTCTTCCAACTCGCTGAATCGAATACGATATGGGATATCGAGTCACTGCGTGGGTGGCTTCGCGGCCTTGCACCCGACAGCGTGCCGAAAAACACGGGTCGTGTGCCTCCGTGAAAGCTAAGTGAAGAAAAGGTCGAGTTCGGTGGATGAAGAGTAAGTGCATTGTCATGTTAGGAAGATACCATCACAGGGATGCCGGATATGACAGGAGGCCATCCTATTTGGGTTGGGGTAGTGAATAATCCGCTGCAGCGAACCGAGTTAAGGTCAATAAGCCGAATATAATATCTTTGTTGATTATATTTTCACATCAATTCCCCAGGTGATTGAATGGAATTACAGATAGCCTGTCCTATTTTGGCTAGACTAATATAACTCTTGGCACTCTGTTGGTTGGCTGGCGTGCCAGGATCCCTACAACCATCATTCGCCGTCTGCCTGCGCTCCTCCCCACTTGCCAGCGCCTCTCATATGCATGTGCCTTTGTCTTCGCAACTACATGCACAACAACCCAAGAGTCTAGCCTCTCTTCCCCAATCACTTCAGGGATCACATCACCATGAACCGGTTATTCGGAGCCAAGAGCAACGCGCCCAAACCAACACTCAGCAGCGCCATATCCAATGTACGACATGCGCATTTACATGCATTCGCCATATACTAACAATGTCAGGTCGACACACGGATAGAAAGCATCGATGTCAAGCTCGCCAAACTGAACGCCGAACTAAGCACCTACCAGCAGAAGCTTGCAAAGATGCGAGACGGACCCGGCAAGACGGCCATCAAACAAAAAGCCCTCAAAGTCCTACAGCAGCGGAAACAGTATGAAGCGCAGCGCGACCAACTGCAGGCGCAGTCATGGAACATGGAACAAGCCGGCATGATGCAGGACAATCTCAAGAACAACATGACCACCATCGACGCCATGAAGACGACGACCAAAGAGCTGAGAAAGCAATACGGCAAAATCAACATTGATCAGATTGACAAACTTCAAGACGAAATGGCGGACCTCATGGACATGGGCAACGATATACAAGATGCTATAAGCCGCAGCTACGATGTACCGGAGGATGTAGACGAGTCTGAACTGGATGCCGAATTAGAAGCCTTGGGTGACGAAGTCGACTTTGAGGGGATTGGAGAATCCTCGGGCGTGCCGAACTTTATGCTGGACGAGACCGCACCACCACAGTTTATCGACGAAGCGCCTACAACTGGTGGCAAAGTCAAGGAAGCCGCGGGCTGATGAGATGGTCATGTCGAAACATCTATCTTGCTGCGATCGGGCCACGGTCGTCGCGGCGACTCTTTCGATTTCATACCAGGCGTGAAGCTCTCCTGGCCTTTTGTCTTCGTGTTGCCAGTCCGAATAGTCACGCTCGAAATTGAATCGGTGGTTACAGCCGGTCGCTGCTGTGTTTTGTTTTAACCCGGAAGATACCCCACAACGTCGATTCGGAGAGTAGATTACGTCATACCCTTTTAAGCTCTTGTCGCGCCAGCGGGCTACTAAGCATATCGACATGTCGCCATGTCATGGACGAATGACCAAGCATTCCATGTCGAATACGAGAGTGGAACAGAGTATTTTGGTTGCTTATGGGTGTTTTTATATTTGACATGATATGCATTGCATGAACGAGACTGTTGAACTCAAGTCTATTTTACGCGCCGTGTATGCTGTGAATAGACGATCTACTATATGTACTGCCAACAGCAGCGGGGTATTGCATCACCTACTTTACGAAGGAACTCCCAGGTAATCCCAAACATTTGGCATAACAGCCAATTACCAGCTAGCCAGCTGTTTGCACCTATCGAACCCACCCCTCAGCTGCCTCTCCGGCTTGACAACCTTGCCCTGCAGCACAGTGTATTTGATGATATTCTCACAATCCTCTGGCTTGACCCGCGCAAGCCAAATACACTGCGCAGCCTCTCCCCTCCCCTCTGCCTCCTGCTCTTTATTCGCATCCAGCACAACCTCCTTGCCCTCTTCATCCTCCAACTTCAAATCCGCAAGCTGCTTTTCCGCGCCATTCGTATGGCTATTAGTCGCAGTCCCATTTGCCTGGTTTCCCTGCGAAACAACCGACGAATGCCGATAAATCATGACATTTGCCGAAAACTTGTGGCCGCCGACGTGACTGATAAAATATATGCCTACACCGCCGGGTCTTTCATCGTGCAAATCGCGGTACAGCCCCATGGGCCTCAGTAAGCGCTCAAACTCCTTGCGCAGCAGAGGCGCAGACTGTCCGCAGCGCGCATCTCGCGTTTTCTGGCTGCACATTAGAATGAGGTATTTGTGCGGACATGGTCGCGCTTTGAGTTGTGGCGTTGTGGTGGTGGCGGGGAGAGACGGTGGTATCGCGGCGGCGGGTTCGGGTGTGGATGGGGATCCGGAAGAAGACTCATCCGGGGTTGTGGAGGAGGGTAGCGCAGCGGTGTGCAGGCGCAACGGCGTGTTGTTTGTTGGTCCTGGGTTGACGAAGCGCGTGATGAGGTCCGGGACGTTTGTGGGCGTTACGTTGTCTATGAATTGCCAGGAGGGGAGGAGTAGGACCATGGAGCTGTGGTCTGAGTGGTCTGGGATGGGGATGTTGGAGGCGGATAGCATGAGTTTCTGAAGGGAGGTAAGGTCAGGACTTGTTTGCGCGGAGGACTTTTTTCTTCATGGTTTCTGCGATACTGTTCATTGGGGATTGGGAGATATAAAACTTACACCATTGCTGGGCTTTATGGTTCCTCTGTCGACTGCCTCCATAATACTGCCTTTTTCGTCGGCGACATCGCGCACCCAGTCTGTTTTCCCGGTTGCAACAAGTAAGTGCGTGTTGAAGCCCTTCACATGGCCGAACAGCTCCTCTGTCTCGTCAATTTCGAATTTGCGAGGATACTTGACGCTGCAACTGGCACAGTCATGTAAACAGTCGTCGCCATCAATCGCTGGATTGGTAGTCGGAAACAACTCCTCCGTCTTCTTGACTTTGGTGAACTCGTCGCTGTCCTTGCTGAGGGAGACTTCGGATGACGACGATAGTGCTGAGCCCAGCTTGTAGGAGAGATTTCGCAACATGGCAGGGACTCTGTATGCGTTGATCGGACGGTGGGGAATGTTTTGCGGCGCCATTGCCGACATTTATATCAGATTTGTAGATTAGATCGCCAAGAACCCCGGAATGTGGGCACACACACCCCGGCTTCTAGGTAGTAAACCCCGGCGTAATCAGTGACGAGGGGGGGTGGATGAAGGCCGGAGTAAGTCTTATGCTTACTATTGCAAAGTGCGGAATCAAGGCAATTGCTTACGGAATCTTTGTTCTTCTACTCCGTTCTTGGGGCGGTCAGCCTTTTATGTTTCGCTGCCTGGCTCGGTCAATCGGACTTTGGGCGCGGTTCTAGGTTGTTGGGCGAGTGAGCAGGCGAAGCAGAGACCACCACACCTCGGAGCAAGACAGCTCGCTCACTCGGACATCGCCTCTTCTCCGAGTCTCTTTGAGCCACCCCTTCTTCCTCGGCTCCACATTACCCCAACAATTCGGAACAAGCTTCTGTCTAGTTGCCGGTGTCACACCAATGATACAAGTCCCGCCTTACCGCTTTATTGCTTTGCCGTGTGTGTCGGGGCGTAGACATTCCCGATTCGCGAGATGAAGCTAAAGATGCTCAACGGCGCGCCTAGGCGTGAACATCTAGATTTCAGCGACAGCTGTCTGTTGCCTTCTGATGAGTGCAATGGTTTCAGTGTTGCTGCGAGATGCGAGATGTCGCCTGTAGATTCTACACCTGCGATCAAGTGGCGTTGCCTTGCGAAGAAGGATACGCGACTCCAGACGGAATGGCAGCACCCTTACCTTCCTGGGCCTATGTTAGGAAGCCATATGGCAGATGTATCGCTTCCTGAGGTTATTCGGTTTCAATCATTTGCACAAGAAGATACAACGGCGTTTGATGCAACCGTCAGTTTTAACGACCCAACTTTCAATGCGGATGGCTTGATTGAACATTCGCTCGTCTTCCACGATACACTACTATCATCTCAGGTGGTTCCGGGGGAGGGGCCTGACTCTACTATCAACTCCTCCTCATTCCTTTCCACATCCTTCGAAACCACTACGTCGGACTATAGTAGTCCCAACAAGGCTGATCGACACACGATTATTCATGTCCCAGTCAAATTGAGCATAACGCCACTTGCCTCGCTCCCCAGCGCGCAGCAGCTGCGAGCAATATACCCTCAGACACCAACCCCAAACTTCATCTGCGTCGTGACTACAAACCCAGAGAAGCGCGAGGTATTTGTCCGAAAAGGCGGCTACAAGATGGATCTCTGGGAAATCATCGTAGCAGACGATTCCTTCTCTGGGTTCAAAATCGCCTTCTGGATGCGTCCGAACCTAGACTCAAAAGACGAGCGTACACGTTCTCAGAGATTGCTTCTCGAAGCCCTACAGGGTATCAAAATTGGCGATATCATTCTGTTGACGAATGTTGCTCTCACATCGTTTCGTGACACAGTCTTTGGCCAGTCTTTGAATCCGGCAATTGCACGCGCTCGGACAGATATCCACGTCTTGATGAAGAGTAATGGTATTTCAGCGGCACAGCCTGGTAGACTCCCTGCGCCGGTTGATGAGGCCTTTACAAGAGTTAAGAAATGGGCAAGAATGCATGTTGCTTCTGATAGCGGGGGCTCGCGGAAGAGGAAGGGGAGTGCGCCGAAACAAGACGATTTTGCTAAGCGAACTTTTGGGACAAGAGGCCTGGATGACTCGATGCCTCCGGATACCATGGACAGTTTCTAAGACGATTTTTTGGTCTTTTGTGAGTTTACTGCGGGATCTGAGAATCGTACTACATACTTTTGAATGTCATGGCACCTAGTTACATAGAGGGTGTTATTTTAAATTAATGGCTATCTTATTGCACTTGATCATTTTGGAAGATCATTCTCTTCAATGCGTTGTTCCGTTTATGATCAACATTAATTATAACTACTGAAGATTTTTCAACTCAGACAACACTCAGTTCTACAGCCAGCGTGCCATCGAAGACCTCTTCTTTCAACCAGCGCACTAAACCAACACGTCGGTATATTTCACCTGGCCCTGCTCGCAGCAAAGCGAGCCCCATTCTTAGGTTTTGTTCATTCCAGCTTACCGGGTCATCTAAATGACAATTCTCTCCAAAGAGAGAGTAAGGTATATCAACAAAAGAATGATATGGCTCAGAGCGAATGCTCAAGACATATACAGACCGCATGAATCGAAAGTCATCAACTATATCTGGATAAAATGTTCCCACTGTGGTACCATCTGCCGAAATAAGACGTCGAATCCCTTCAAAGAAACAACCATCGATTGGTTGCATGTCAATCTGAAGTTCGGTAATGTTACCTCGCATTTGTAATGGGGCATCCGAAGGGGTATCAACGGTACCAAACGCTGCTGTTGATTTGTCATGAAGATCTGTAATCTCGAAATTCCCATAACTACTGTCGCAGTCACGGCATGTGTCGTCGCAAAGGCCAATCCTTTGACACTCATAGCTGATCTCTCCATCGATGGAAGCCCATGACCAACTCGGTGCTCTGTAAACCTGTGGACGACGAGGCAAAAAGGCAGTAAATTGGCTAACAGGCTGGTCTCGGTTATTGTTGTAGGGCGGGAAGGTCCTCCAAAGAAGTGCTGATGGTAAGTGATTTGACCAAATGCCGAAAATACATTTTCCAGGATTTTGTTCCGCCAAGAACTTGGAGGCTAGGCCTTCTAAAGCAGGCAGTTTATCGGTTTCCTTCGTCAGGTTTCTGGAAGAGTAATCTTCAACTAATTTGAACCAGTGATCACGTTGAGAGGCTGGACGACCAGAGGCGAAGTCTTCTTCTTGATTGAGTACAAGCGGTAGGGGGACGAAGTCGTCGTGCTCATGTATCATCTCGTGCCACGGAAGCTCTGATGAACCCTTCATAGTACGGCATTGCCAAAGCAGTTGTCCCTGAGCAAAGTTGATACACCTCAATGAAAGATCTCTTTCTTGTAGTGTCCACGCTCTCGTACGTAACGGGTTAGATCCGCAGCCCTCATATTCCTCATTCCAATAAGCTGGCGAGTGTTCTAGAATTCTGACGCGTTGAGAACCGAAGCTGAAATCTTGGTATCGCGATAACTTTGGCATTCCTGCATTCCTGGACCTGGTCCGGCAGCCCTGAGTGCTGTCTGCAGAGCTGAGTGCAGCCAGAGTGACAAATGATCCACCGTAAATAGAAGCCATAGCGCCTGCTTGCTGTGACCAATCTTCGCGATCGTCTTGAATAATGCATAAAGAGTCTATCCAAAGATATTGCTGGTCTAGATCCCGACAGATCTTGACGGCGTCCTGAAATGTCATCGAAAGATCTTTGAATTGGATCCGTAGCATTCTGTCACTTAAGGTGGCTTTGCTTGTGCAGATTGGGCGTTGATTGACTGGACCCCAACAATGGCTAAGGGTGACATACTTCGCTGTAGTCGGAACGCTTTGCCAGTCTACCAGTCTAATGTCGTTTGAATTCGCAAAGGCTCTAACGTCGAGGACACGTTTTGGAGATCCTTGACTAGCAATTTGCTTGCACTTGGGGTGTTTGGTCGCGCAATTAGACAGCCATGTTCGCATGAGCGTCAATTCATCCCAAGGCTTATTCAACTCAGCAGGTGGAATTCCTATCTCTCTTAGCGGGTCGTGACGATTTATGCTCTTGTAAATGTGTGACATACTCCATTCAGGCGGTACGTGATAGAAGAGTGTACATGAAAAATTGTCGTAACCTATACAAAGCTCAAAAGACTGTGTGGGGTCCTTCCTTGCTCTTCTCAAGTTCATGTCTTGGGTATACAAGAACTCTTCTGGAAGGTACGACGGATCAGCGCTAGCCATAAGAATAGTGCAGAAGGGACAACCTGATGACGCGCAATTTCTTGAGAGAGCGATGGTAGTCAGAGGTATAGAACGGCTAGGATCATTGTCGTACTTGGCTGAGAAAAAATCCTCCGGAATCCGTCGGAATACCTTGCACGATGGCTGCGACATATTGAAGGAATGCGCAATGAGATCGTATTTCCTTTTTTCGAGACACTCTGTTCGCAGCACACACAGTTCGTCCGGTAGTTAACCCCCGTCTCTTTGAACTATAGCGACGTGTGTGTGCAGAATATGTAGGAACTAGAGTGCTTTAAAGAGCTTCGTGCAGGCTAGGCTCGACGATGTAGAGGTCACAACGAAAGGGTATGACGACCGCGAAGTATAGTGGAGTTTCTTGTCGTTCTTGAGTAAGGCTATAGTTAGCGTCTGCCTAGGCCTTGCTTGTGCTGTTTAGAAACTTACTACGTAGTTGGCAAAGAGTAAGATATGGTGTTCGCAGAGCCAATACCGTTGCCCGCTTAGAAGCCTGTGTTCTTGCCGCAGGAGGATGTTATGGAGTCCATGATAGTGTTACTATCCAAGGCAAGCTGCTTACAAGTAATCAGTTTGGAGGATCCAAAGGATGGACTACGCCGCAATCCTTTAACTACGCCGCAGTCACGTGACTGATTGTACACGATCAGATGCATCCAGCCAATTAGGGCGCAATCGTTAACGATTACTTTGTTAATTGCATACGATTACTTCCATAATCGTATATGATTGCTTTATCTTAGTATATAGTATAGGTATT